AAAGTTTAGATGGCTTTAATAATGTTTTCTAGTTAGTGTTTTTTATCAGGGTTGTTTTCTGCGGGATGGGGTTGCTGACCCCATTTTCAAACCTCCTCTTTTACCTGGGCTTTTGACAGACAGTAACCCTAAACGGGCTACAGACGTAGTTATATCGACAATATTTTTTAAGTAATAAGTCTGCAAACTTGAACTATTAAGTTGATTGTTTGAAATGGTAATCTTTTTGATCTAGTTTAATAAGCAAACAATTTCCGGAACTTGCGCATAATCTATTTTAGCTTAAAGAGGTTCAGGGTTCACTTCATTTACCAAATAAACGTTTCTGTACTCGGCTTTGTATTGTACTGCTATTTGTAAGCTGAAATCTAGGAGCAAAAGGTCTAAGATTTGGCATCAGCACATGGATGCAGTGACTATTGAAATGTGTTATGTAGACTACCTGGTTAGGATACACACGATTATTGTTATCAATTGGTTAAGACTTCTGGCGTCACAGATGAGAGTCGGTCGCTACTGAGTAGATGCATTCAAACTGTCGTAAAACACTCACACCTTTCATCACACAGATTTATTTTTTCTTTCCGAATAATACTATGTCTAATCTTTTCTACTACCAGGTGTGCTACTACTAATTCTAATACTCTGGCATTTGTCTTGATAATTTCATCTCGCTCTGTTGATGTAGTATGGTAACTTGCACAGATGCCTATATGTGTCAAGCTCCAAGTCGGCATTGATTAATTAATTGACTATGTTGCTTTTACGAGGGCTTATGATACTGCCTGATTGCTAAACTTGATGGGGGGGGGGTGAACATCATATATATTGGTCAAAAAACTAGTTATGTAAGCATAGTGTCACCAGTCAACGAATACTAATGCAACTAATCTAACAACTCTAGGTTTATATACTAAGCTTTAAGCCACACTTATTGTAGGAGGGCCAATTACACCTGCTACCTAACTGCCAAAAATGAAGTAGGTAAACCAGGGTTCTAACCTGCGACTTACTGGATTAGAATGAGATTCAAGTGAAAATAAATTAAGGGAAATTTTAAGGATGGGAAAATGTTTTCTGAGATGCCTACAAATTGTAAAATAAAAATCCTTTAAACATTATTATTTCCAAACGGTTCTGTGACTATCAAATTATAACCGTTTATTTAAAATACATAGGATTATGAATTGTCTGACTGCAGTGTTTAAAAGCATAAGCTTAATTATATAATAATTATTATTAGTGACTTTATTCAATATCATATTTTTGGTACAATATAGAATTCTCAACACAAGGTATTTCAACAAGTTTCTTTTGCAAAAAAAGAAAAATAGTGAAAGAAACTAGTAACTGCATACACACAAGCATAAGTTAAGTAGATAAACTACCTGTAATTAAATGAAGTGTTTTTCAAGAAGATTTGAACCTGTACGTTTTCAATTAGAAACATGTTGAAAAATACAAGTTGTTGATTAAGTCAACTCTAACAACCTGTTCGTCACACAGCATATTTGTTAGATAAGGTATTGTAGAGCTTTCGTATCTTTGCTTGAGCGCATGGGTTCTAATGTATTTACGTCTCGTTCTACCAGAAGATATGCAAGGAGAAATATATGAATGAAGTGGATAGTTAGTATCTAATAACACAACACCTGACAGGAGTTTGTAAGACTAGATGTCGATCTACAACCTTATTAATAAGGACCTCAAAAGATTCACCATACACCCTGCTAACTGCCTTCAGAACTCTCCTCAATACAGCAAAGGCTTTGCCCAAAAGCCTGGGAAAGAATAACGGAGAACAGTAAAGATTGGTAAGTAATATGCAAGAATCGAAAAATTGTAAGAGTAAATATCGAGTAGTGCCAAAATTATGTAAACTCTTTATTTAGTCAGTCAGATGGAACAACAGCAGCATGTAAGGTGCGTATTTTGCATTTGTAAGCAAACTGATACGGATCAATGTGAATTTTTAGTGGAGGCTGAGGTGGGAGTATCAATAATTTTTCCATTGTTTTGAGAAAAGGCGAAGTTGTTGCTATGGTTCTAAATTTCACATTCTAATCGCCAGATACTTTCTTAGGTATTGGGATTAACTTTATCTCTCGCCACATTCTCGGTATGAAATTAGTTGCGAATGATCTGTTAAAGACACTCGTGAGTGGATAACACAGAACGTCAGCAAACTTTTTGCAAAGGAGGTTTGGAATTTCAATGAAGGCGATTTAAAGAGCTGCGTTCCTAGCTATAGAAATTCAGATAAATTCAACAAAATCTGTAAATCAAAATTAATGGTTCCATAGAATGTGTGATTAACAGAAATCAATCAACAGATTGCCTGGTAGAATGAAATATTAGAGAAGTATTTATAATTCTTAACTAGTTACAATATTCTTCCGCTAGTATGTAATTTGGAAATTGTTTCCTCTTAAAGAAACCTTGTTTTTTTCTAGCTATAAAAAACACTGAATAGAACTACTTAAATGTATTTCACTACAAACAAAAATCAATATGTGATGTTGGGTTACGAACAGTTGCATGATACATTCCACAACATCAATGATTGCCTTAATTGTAATTTAAGATTTTAGGTAATCATTTGGAATCCGACATCCATTGAGAATTAAAAATTAACAGATTTTAACTGTTGATTTTCGTGTTAGGTTGCTGGAGATAATCAGCAGGAAATCCTGGACCTAGGTGTTTTGCTAGTTGATACTTATCAACAACGTGTACCCTCAATCTTCAGAGAACTAGAGGCGACATCTCAGACTGTAAATTGAGTGACCTTTATTCGAATTCACAAAGGAGAGTCAGCTCCTTCGAAATCTCAGGTATATCTTGCCAGCGAGCACCAACTAGCAAGAAACCGACTACTTTCGACCACCTAGCTTCATAACACATCACATGATGTCAAGTAACATAGATTAATTATAATAGTGCAACTTGATCGACAGAATTCCATCATCACCCAAAACTAGGCAAACATGAAATTGGTTGTTGCCCAACAACCAACTAATCCAGATAGTTTCAAATTGGAAAATCCAGTAGACGTAAAACAAGCGTTCAGGATTTTAGGAAAAACCAATAGAATCTGACTAACAACCAAGCTTACTCAAAACAAAGAACATAGCCAAAGTGGGATCTCTTCACAGTCAATTCACAGCGTAAAAATGACTAAACCTTGAAGAGTTAAAGCAGTTAAACACATGTCGATTCACGAATATAATTGGAAATTCAATACTTAAGTGTTAGTTTCACAACTTAAAACAACAAAAGGACTAAATAAAATATCAGTAGCAATGGAAAATAGTACGAAAATGAATTTGCCAGTAAAAATATGTGTACATACGAAACGACGCTAATTTATGGATAGGTGGAGTAGATTTAATAATAACCGTAAACTTAAAAGACTTTCTTCCTATTCAAGTGAAAGGCAGCATTAACTATAAAGCGAGTATTCTTGAAAACCATTCTATGGAAAATCTCAAATTTATGAATAAAACACTTACTACTCATAAGTAGAAAGCGGTAACTTTCAAAATATTATATGCATCAAACAACGCAAACCATCTCAAAGATGCCATGTTGTAGGATACCAAACATACTTTTTGTCCAATAAAGCGCGAAAATACTGCTTAAGTGAGAATGAAATATTATAAAATGCTGTTTTAGGACTTAAAGTTGATTGGGATTGCTGTGGAGATACATTTACAAAGTCGTGGTAATCATGAGTGGCGAATAATAATAACCATTTCATATACAGTACAATCAGTTCGCTCTATGTATTTAAATAAATCAAGGACAACAACTGATTCGGAATAAGAGAAGCTCATTTTTAGTTCATGGTCTCTTATCGGTTACTTACCACTGCGTATTCATATAAAAATAAAATAATATTAAGCAATAAACAGCGGCGACGGCAAAATTGAAATGACCAAGATTATCAGTACCGTATATATATATATAAACATATGTAAGGTCATTTGAAGACATAGAAAGTATAAGGAGGGTGGGGTAAATGTTATCTAGAATCAGAAGGTTCATAAGATAAATTACGTAGTACTTATATATTTGAAGAATTGAGTCTTTTGTTTAGTTATTTTGAAGGACTAAAGAATATAAATAATATTCTTATCGGTTAAATATAGGCTGATTGGGCTCTTTAGCGTTGTGTGAACTTTTAGTTCCAAATTCTCTGAAACATCGTCAGAAATATAAACATGTACACTTCTCTTTTATTTCAATGTAAGTATTTGGCAAGTAGATGTAAACTGAAAATAATGGTTAAATGCATTGAGAAAAGAGGATTTGTCGACTTCCAATACGTCATCTGTTCTGATTAATTAGTCCTATAATTTCATTCCTAATGAAAACAAAATGTGAGGAGGTGGTTTCGAAAGGGCCTCAATTGTATGAGTTGATTATTCAAAAGCAAACTCCCGCATTGACAAATATCTTAACTATAGTGACTTAGTCACATAGTTGATAGACCAGTTACATTGGAAACATAAGGAATGCAACTATGACTGGTGAATAACAGTTATTAAATGGGCTTTATAGTAGATTAATATATCAATGTAACTTAGTTAAACTACAGTAATTCGTCAGTAGTTGGAATGTCTATCTTCTTGAATATGACTGGAATATAGTAAAGTGATGAAGTTAAGAAACGCAGTACACAGCGTAATCGAAGCAGATATGATCGTTTTACCATTGACAATTTTGAAACCAATAAGTTAAACAATAGAAAGCCACGTGCATATATATAAAATATCAGTAGTCACGTATACACAGTTTTCATATACATAATGCCACAGATCATCTACTTGTAAATTTCTAATTACTATAAGGCTCGAAGTTAAATATCAAAGTCTCAAAAAAACGTTAAAAGATTCCCTCAGCCTATTTTAACTTTGAGCATACGAAATCATGACGATTACAGCTCCTAACGAAGTTATCCAATAACTTTATGGTTATCGTACATAACATGCGAGGCTCATCATCGTAACAATTCTAAATTGGAACATGTTCAACAAAATACAATTTTTACTGAGTGAAAATCTTGGTACAATACTCCTTTCAGGAGGAAAACAACACAAGGGAACATCTTACACAACACTAATTACGACTGTTTTTTAAGTGAAGAAATGAAACGATCAAGTTTATATACAATGTCTTGATAGTTTTTCAACAAGGTAGAAACTTCTTCATGCAGTTGACTTTCAAAATATTCGTCTGCAGCTTCATCAAATGCCTTTTTCAATGGATTATAAGAAGAAGGACCACTTGTTTTAGGTACCAAAGAAGACCCTCGCATAGCATCTGGTCGAACCCGCTGAATCGTATTTAAAAAACAAAATACAAGTGAATGAGGAGCTATGATATATGATTAAGTACATAATAACAACAATAATAATCATACTCATTTGACGAAGAAGCTGTAAATTATAATAATGAAGTAAATAAGTATAAACAATACCATATAAGATGTTATTCGGTCTTATTTTTAACCGTCTATGGTTTTTATAACATCAGGCAAGGAATTTACAGAATATTAGATTTCAATTCAAATGAGTGCAAAATTACTAAATAACTTTTGTGAATTAGACCCTCGTTGGTACTTTGATCTTACTATACCATTGTGATACCGCGGGCAATAACCAACACTCATATTTGAAAGGTCGTCTAGAAAAAATAGTTTGGCAAATCATACTAGACGGTGAATACTGAGGCAAGCTTTAGAATGATAAAACGAAATTTTTTACCAAACTAGACCGCTAGCATATTTAAAGACAGCTTTCATTAAAAGTTCATACGGGATACTTGAACTGTCTAATATGACATACAACACTCTCTAATTCATGAAGGAAGCTGGCGTTTCTAAGTTTTTTATTTATCGTATTCGATTTGTGGTCTATAGCAATTTACATTTGAAGATCAAGTCAAATTCCAATACTAAATAGAAAGTGGGATCATGATGACTATTTAGTGTTCTAAGAGTCAAAAATTTAAGTACTACACAATAAAATCATTATGAGGGATATTGAATAATGTGGTAGAATGTCCTTTATGTTGGAAATTTACAATTAAATAAGAAAGAAAGATTAGTTCAGCGAAGAGAGAACTCTTCGCTGAACTAATCTTTCTTTCTTATTTAATGTCATAATGGGTGTATTCCGTTTATTAAAAAATTTACAATTACTGAGTAGATCCAAGGCTTAAAAAAAGTCATAATAGCTATAAAGTTCGTACTTGTTTTTGAAAGAAGCTTTGTTATATAAAACAACAACTTCGTCATTAATTACTCAATTTTCTGAAAGAATAGTAAACAGCTCTAAAATGTAAATTATCTTTATTGTTTAAATGGCTACAAAGTAAACATACCAAACTTTACGACAATTATACAAATCCTAATAATGTCTTTTTATTGAGAAAAACCAAGTGATTGTAGTAAATAATTTGATATTCTAGTGTACCATATCTATTTCATCATGAATACGTGGGATAACCATCATTAACGTTGAATTTACTCAAGGATGAGTTCAAATATACAAATACAATAATACAACATACCTGAAAGTATGCAGTGGCACGCTTAGTTAATGCGTCAGAAAAAGACTTTACATATTCATCTGTACGAGGCAACAAAAACAATCGAAGAATTTCATACACTCGTCGACTTTGACAACGATTTAGTTTTAACTTTGTCCTTGAAATTTCTCGGAAGCGTATTGCAGAAGACTTCTCACTAATAATTTGTCCGTTCACACAATTAGACTGTGTTATAGTTTGCATTACTTCTGGGGTTTCCAAGCACCGTTTGCAGTCCAATAAATCCCTAATACGCTGAAATTCAGGCGATGGGTCTTCAACTATAATAGAACGAATTAATAACATGTGAAAAGTTAGCACATTTCATTAAAAACAAAAAGCTGCCACTACTAAAGGTAAAATTAGATCATATCTATGCAAAACTAGTTGTTAATTTAATTCTTCTATTTTGTCTAAATATTTCAAGTCTGCATTATCAAACAAATGATTCAGAAACAAACTAAAATACTACAATTAAAAATGTTAATACTAAGCAGTACCCTCAAAATTATCAAGGACCAATCAAGCTAAGGATTGAGAGGCAGAATAGTCACATGTCTGATGGACGGTTGAACTGTTTGGTGACTCCACTCAATTGCCGATAATCTATCCTTTCTCTCGTGTTAAGATTCCACTGCTACTAGTTGCTATTCCATAAATATGTTTCCAGTTATTTTTAATGGCTTACGTTTCTCACCGAAAAGAAGTCCTACATAATTCAACTCAAGACACTAATTAGCTTGTACTTTATTTTGAACCATACTTTTTTATGTGAGGTAGTAGCGATACTACTCAACTGCCTTTACCGAAATAGGTGAAGAGAGGTTAGAACCTGAGATCTATTGGTTGAAACCCGAGTATTCTAAACACTAAACCATAGATTAACCTGTAAGCTTTGCTAGTCACGCGCTGATGAGTTGACTTTACAACAATCATATTTACCTTGAATATATATTGTTAAGTTAAATAAGTTTTTTGGAAATAAGATGAACTAAGAATACTTGCTTTGTTCGTTAAAGTTACGAATCATGTGGCAGTTATGTAAAATGGTAGTCAGTCAGTCGGCTACAGCGTAGGACAGGGCACGTATATGCATCGGTTCAAGTTGCCATACCTCATTAGCACAGCAGGATAAAGACCGGATTCATAGAAGCAGTTAACTCAATGGTGGCAATATATAAAAGAAAGACTTGGTATGAGGATATAGTACAGGAGTCAGTCAGTCAGTCAACTACAACGTAGGACCAGGCACATATGTGCATTGGTCCAGGTTGCCATACCGCATCAGCACAATGAGATGAACACCGGATTCATAGCAGTGGTTAGGTCAAAGGTGGTAATATATAAGAGAAAGATTGCATATAGAGATATAGTACAAGAAGAAAGAATTGGTTCGTAGAAAGAAAGATATGAAGTGATTTTAATCTCTTAGTTTAAGGGAAGACAGGGAGTGTATACACCGACGTCACTGTGATCGACTCTGAGCCATGTCACCAAGAGTCTCCAACCATTGGTTACGAAAGTCACGCGGACCCCAACCAAATAGTCTGCATCTACCAATGTGGCTACGACTAGAAGTTAGTGACTTCAAGCACTGATAATTATTAAAATGAATATAACTTAAGTACATAATATTCTACACTACTACTGATACTGTTACTATTTCTAATACTTTGGAATTTATCTTTATACAAGTTTATCTTGTTGTGCTAATGTGATAATGGCAACTTGAATCGATACACATATATGTCAGGTACTACGTTGCGTATAACTGACTGAATTTAAGTGAGTGTAGTCGATGGTGTCGACGAATGAACCACATGAATATATATAATGACTGTTAAGTGCGAAATAACGACCTAAATTTGCACAAGTTTTGTCGATAACTCTGAATAATTTATCACACATCGTTTTTTAAAACTAGTTACGATGTTGTTTTTTTATAAAAATAATGATCTCACCTGCTATATCAATGACATTAGACATTGGTACAAAATCACGATAAAAAGTTTGTAAAAGTTGTGTAGCATGGCCATTGTTTCTAAAAGGTGGAAGGATCAGAACTTGGCTAACACGTGGTCGAAGATTTTTGGGATAAGCATAAAACTTATAAACTGTCATGTAACCAATAAATCCGTATTTAATTTTTCCGTCATCTGTTTGACCAATATTTTCATAACTAAAAAGATCGTTATTTAAGCAAAAACGATAATAAACTTGGTAATTTACATCACATAATAACACCACTGAATATCTTCCGTAGATATAGCAGATGCACCATCTATGAAGAAAAGAAGGAAAGATTCCATCCGTTTATGATATTCAAGGAATTTCTCAAATCCAGGCATACCATGCTCGATAAAAAAAACAGAAAACTTTTTTGGACATTTATCTGCAAAAAATTAATATTACTTATTGAGAAAATACCTTTCATAATTTGATAACTGTATCTGTTAACTCCGTATGGAGTGAAAGTAAACTTTTCATCGAAGTTTTTCAAAAAATCATTCAGGTTCTTACTGATGTTATATGGATAAACATCAGATAATATGTGCATAATATCGTCAGGCTAAAGTATGAAAGACAGAAATGAATTAATTACCGCAAGAAAAAGACTTACCATAACACCTTTGGATAGTTGAGGATCAACTTTTGATGTATAAGAAATATCTATATATGTTGATAGAGAGTCTGCTGTGTAAAATATGCCAACTTTGAGATCACGATATCCGAATATCTGTTCACTAAATAAACATTGTTTAGCAACACTGAAAGCTAATAGACCTTTCACCAAATATTTGGTGAGTGAACTCAGGATTGAATGTATCTACTGAATCGACAGTTTCCTTGTCCCTAACTTCATATGTAATTAAAGAGGTTATTGAACAAACCTAGTTTGAATTGGATGGCATCACAAGCATTCACACGATAGTCATCAAGACTTCTTGTATTTAAACTGTCCATTATATGGATACTGAGTTACTAAAAAGGGTATGGAGAAATGAATTTATTGTTTAAAATTAATAATCGAAACGACCAATTAAGCTTGATAAAAACCACAATTTGATTTACAAATACAAATGAAACCATAGATTATTAGACAAAATATCATGGGTAAATGTGCTGTGAAATAGTTGAATGCATTGTATAAGATTGTTTGAAAAATATTTGACCTCTCAGTTTAGTGAATGAATTTGGTTTTACTACCCTCTTATCATTTATTTTCTATTCCATATTTTTGAAATAATTTAAATAATCGAGTTTTTATGACTACCACTGTATAAAAGTTATTTATCACGAATAATGGTTGTTGTGGATAATCACAAGTTATGAACATAAGTGATGCTTGTCTATCCTTATTCAACCACTGAAAAGTCCACTCAAATTACGAACAATTAACATGTTTGATAGATGTTGATTTTCTCAAATTCGAGCGTATAACACTCAAAAGATATTTGAACTTTGACTTTTAACCGAGTTACTTGATTTATATCAGGCTGAAATTTGTAGTCAGTCAAAAACTATCAACAGCACATAATTTACACATTAATTAGATTGTATGGAATTTTAAGAGGGGAGCTTATTATTAGACAGTAGAGTGTTAACTGACCCTCGAAATAAAATAACTTCTGAGGACTGAGAAAGCTGATATTTCATTATTCAATTTGCTGAGTGTCTAACTTGGAGAGCTAGACAGGATTTGTGGGCAACCAAATCTTTAGTTTGAACCAGTTAAAATCAATACACGAAACTTTATCCTACTACAGAGCTAGCAATTGAATTAAGGGGTCTGATTAAGTCTTAATTTCATGCCACTGTACTAACCTACTCGACAATGATAAAAACAATATTAATAAACTGCTGATAATAACCATTACTTCAACAAAGAATGTGAGACAACAGTGCGCTACTTCAAGCCACTGCATGACACAGTGAAAACTATCGAGATATGTATCCTTTATTATGTCTCAATACTTGTGAATAGTTAACTGCCATAAGAAAACTCAGAAATAGCAGAATATGTCAGGATCGTGATACTCTAACGGTAGCAAGCATCTGATAATCAGCAACAGGAATGTTAAGTCCTAATTTTGTTGTGAGGCGGTAAGATTTTAAGGTCAAATTTACGGGGCAGGTTTTCGAGATTAACATGAGAGCTATGCCTGGTATTGTATAAAACATGTGTCAAAACATGATGTCAAAAAACGGTAAACGTTTACCACTAGGAAAACTTCCGTTGGTTTCGCCAACAAATACCTAGTGAATTCAATAGCCAAAATGGTAATACCAAAGAAAGTAATGTTTAGCTACAGAGGAGCAATGGCATGTGAGATCCTTGGATATTTAAAATTATTATGCACCAATACTGGCCCTTTTTGGATATGTACAAAAATGTAACCAGTATGATTGTAGTCAAAACTAAACGGTGATAAAACATTGACCAGGTCTTATTATTTTATTAACTACGCACTAAATCTCAGTTTATCATACAATACCTTGTACGTGATGGAAAATTTAAATGTAAAACCAAAACAGTCCTTCCATTACGACTGTATCTATTTCATTAGAAACAAATACCGCATCGTCGAAATTTACATTGGAGACAGTCCACGGAAGAAATAAGGGTCCAAAAAGACAGATCGATGACTGGATTAAAATCAATATAAAACAAAGAAATTTTAACGAAGTGCATGACCGAGTAGTATGAAACAATAGGATTCAGTCTGCTAAGTTGTTTTGACAGTGTAGTACTACGATAAAGTACGACGATATTATAAGAAGATCCGATCAAGTAATTATTGCAAGATATCTCCATGGAGATATCTTGCACATACATATGTATACGGAAACACTAGAGTTCGTGAAACATATGGACAGATTTCACGAATAAAATAACAGGGGCTTGATTTCATTCCTTACAGAACAAAATCTTGTCTCAAATTTTCGAAGTATCACGGAATTAACATATCACTAATTATAAAAATGTAAACTTTGGAAGTAAAAGGTGGGGACCAATATTCGAAGTATACACACTAACATGCTATATCCAGTAATTCAATCACTGAAAAACGAAGTCAAGCCTTCGAACCTGAACTCAAGGTCAAACATGCGTATCCAAACATAGCTGGTAATTGTGAAATATACTGTTTACAATGATGAATTATCTACTCTGTATATCTGATAGCGTTACATGGACTTCAAAAGGAGTAGCTGAATACTTATAAATGTTGGGGAAAAACTTAAAACTTAGTGAGAAGGGCTCTGCGTAGTTTCATATTGGTGCATTGAGTTAAGATAGTGATAACCCATGTTGGCCCCTTACTTCTCTGGTTCTGAGTAGTGTCTAGTCTCTTTTGAATGAGGTAATGGAAGGCACAGATACCATTTGTTCCAGCAGCTGGCTTCGAAATTCGACAACTCTGTTAGACTTCTGAAGTCTGCTGTTGGATCTTTCAGTTCTTCTAACTAAAATTGAGGAAAAATAGGGGATAACTAAGATCTGAAATCATTTATTATTGTCGTGTACGCCAAGGCGTCACCTACAAATCTGTTTAATAAAAGTACGAAAAGATCTAACTTTCAAGATGTTTTTAAAGCCACATGGAGACAAACCTATGTACCTTTTAGGCAGGAGCTTGGTAGATGTACAGAATATTGTAATCAAGGCTGCTCCAAAGCTGTTCAACTCGTGAGTAACACAATTTAACTTAGTTTAGTCAAAAGCCTTATATTCTAGAGCATCTAACCTGAAAATCAGTCATCTTTTGTTTTCAGACGACGACTCTGTAGCGGTAAATAAATCCCCAAAATAACTAGTTTTCGACATTGGATGCTGACCATATGTTTTAGTGGACTCACCTAGCTGAAGGCGCTCGGTCAGGCATCCGCACCAGACCACGTGTGGTAACGCTGTGCTAAACATCTACCGCAATCGGTAGCCAGATTAGATCAGACAATTTCGATATATTGGTAATCGCCAAATACACTTTTCTGATCTCCTCGACTCTGTCTTTTGATTTCTCTGGGTGGGAACGAAATATATTAGGTGTTACTGGTAAAAGCGTTGTCAAACACTGAATACCTGTGTCATCTTCAACTCACTATGATAACTAAATCATGGTGATTCAGAATTTTAGTCATATACGTTTCGCAAATATGGTAGTTAGTTATAACCCCGTCTCCCAATCACAAACAAACGCCTGAAGCCGCATCGGCAGGTATCACGTGATTCATGTGTATTTTGTAGTGCTTAATGCTTTAAATATGGTAAAATTGGACACATTCAGTCAGTTTGTAATACCAATGTTTATTTTCGCTCCAAACAATGACGGATTTTTTTGAATTCCCATCCTATTAAATCGAATGTTTCTAATGATAATTTATCTTTATCCACGATTCCGAAAAGCAATGTAGAGCCACACAGCAGTGCATAAATAGATGACACTCAGAATCATTGTGAGAGAAAAGTATCTAACCAACCAACTTCCTATCGGATTTCTTCATGTTATTGAAGGATATAGTTCTTCCTGATGATTAGTATATTTGTAATGGAATTCCTTATAAATATGAGGAAAATATTTTGAATGGATCAAATCATGGACGAAAATCCGGTGCAGTTTTGCTAGATGTTGATTTTTCTAATGATCCATTATTCAATGACATTATTAATAAATTTGAGGGAAATACTTCAGAAAAATCAAATCCTGATGTTATATCGAATGTTTTTCGTCCTCATAATGCATTTTTTTCTTGTGGGAAACTTGTTCAATGCGAAGTATGAATCACAAAGGAGTTGGACTTTGGCTACAATTCGGATGATTTAATATCAGCTGTTGTTCATCCTTATCATGAAGTCGATTCTAATGAATTCTCCAGTTAATATAAGAAATATGCCTTAAGTGAAGCAATATCATTTAGAATTTGGGAATGTGAAGATTCAACGTCAAATCATCGGGAGGATAGTGTTGAAAAGTTTATACTTCAAATTCTAGATATTAGTGGTTTCGGTACACAACCGACGTGGTGATTGTATACAATCTCAGGACCCAGGTGAGTCTGTTCCTATTATACTTGTTAATTCTGGTACTAATGAGCATATTCTAGATCATACAGAGTCTACATCCGTTACAAATTCCGACAGACACAGGATAAATATAAGACGTCCAATTGATTGCAGAAATTCGGATTCTCATTTAAGCTCTGGAGGGTGTGGTGTTTGTTTGAATTAATGATTTCTTTGAACTTGATGACTATCTGATATAGGATTCCAAATATAGTACATTTGTTCGGGCTCATCTAGTTCTTCTTGGTTTAAATCACGCAATTTCGGGATTCCTAGTTTGTTTGATAATTCAAATACTTCCAATTATCACGAGTCATCAGAGCATACTTCGAAACAAAGAAGGAAAGTATCATGAGAAATGTAATGCAGCGCTATGTACTCACAAATGATGGTAACGAAGATAACAAATATCGGTTTTATGAGAGTTTGTAATCGGTCATAGAGATGTGCTCAGGAAAGGTCGGGACCGTCCTGATGAGAGGCCTAAACACCAAGGTTGGAATGATCCCAAAATATAACGCGGAGAACACCAACACAATCACACTTCATGGAGAATCTCTGAAAGAAGTTGGTAGTTTCACGTACTTCAGCAGCATCATCGATGAACATGGAGGATCTGATGCCGATGTAAAGGCAGAGATTGGCAGAATAATGGCAGAATTCATGCAATCGGGAGATCAGAATAGCCATCAAACAAATGAAGACTGAAAAAGCAGAAAGACCTGACAACATTCTAGCTGAAGTAGTGATAACTGACATAGAAGTACCCCAAAGATGCTCCACATCCTAGTAGAATAAAGGCTTCTTTTTGGATGATTGTAAGCAAATGAGCCGCAACATTAACATCCTTGATATCTCCCTTCGTCAAAGTTCAGATTTCGAACCTTTCCATATAATCCTCAAAAGCATCAAGAGTTGAATGTAGGTACAGCTGTCCCATCAAATGTTCCATCGCGACTCCAGTGTGATCAGAAGCATTTGAATTATGAACTATGAATCCCCGAAATAGCTCAATTTAAACCTAGCAGAACTAGGTGAGAACAAACAAGCGTATTGTATTTAGAACTAAAAATCAGGTAATCGTCAAGCACAAAGAACCATTAGTTCATACAAGCACCACATGACCCGGTTTCCATATGATCCTCATCTTGTAAGTGCTTTTCGTGCTTCTCTGAACAGCATCAGTGCAACTTCTTATGTGTGCGAAGCACGTTCTCCTCCTTGATCAGAGTACAACAAAATCTCTTCGATATGTAGTCTTTTCTGTCCGGTTTGGGTCCAATCTTTAGTAGCATTGATAATGAAAGGCAATCGCACCTACAAATTGAGTATTTTTTTATTAACCAAGTAATAAACAAACGATCGTCTCACTAAGATCAGAATGAGTTAATTTAGTAAAGCGAATTTATCAGCTGTCAGTTATGGACTATGGAAAACAGGAAGACTATCAAAAATAGACTACTCAGGGATACACTTTTGATCTGTTTCTTTTTTGGGTAATGCCGATTGACAACAAACGCTTTCGTAGTTGTTATAGCTCATTGTCATAAAATAGTATTTACTCAGCAGGTCGTTTTATTTATTAAAAACATAAAATAATAAGGACCGATAATTTCGGTTTCCAAACTGTTAGTAATACTGGATGAGAGGCTTTAGAGGTGTTTAAGAAGTATCACACCCTTCTGAAGAGTTCAGACAAAGCGATTATAAAAGGTACTTAGAGTGAGAAATAAACCCTCTCCATCTGGCTTGGAAGCGCCGAAATTTCCACCTCTGCTGGTAGATAAGCAGTGATGTGATCACAGTGAATAGGATCCCTCATAACTCTCATGATCATTGTGAACTGCCTCCACTCTTCAACGCTAAATAAACTTTTGTAGTGCATCACTTAAATCTAGAGAAAGACTGTGTATACATAGAGATAAATATCCTCGTGATGAGAGCTTAAGAAATGTAAGACAAGTTTCTCCACTTCATGGTGGGGTTATTTCATGTCAATTCCTCACTAATGCGGTTCGATATGTACCTTTTAACCAATGATACTAGAAGAGATATCTACGATTCTTCATAAAACAGTTTCTTTACAGCATAAAAATGTTCAGCAGTATGGGTTTACTGTGGTTACAGACAGTAAAAACACAATTATCTTCATTTGAGACTATGTAGTCTTTCAATTTCTTTGTTACTTTAAGTCAGCACCGAAGACGTGCCTCACATGGTAAATTGACAGTGAGTTTAATCACCAGAAGTGATACAGTTGAAACTTAACCTGTTGAAAGACTTCAAAGAACAATGAACTTACATAAAAGCACTAGATCTCAGAGTTATTGATCAATATACTGTCTTGTTGATAATATTGTTATTCGACCATTTAGCCCAGTAATGGGTTTAAAAGACGTTTGTACTGTGAAAAATAGAGTTTTAGTGAGTACATTAATTGATTTTATATTTTTGTTTTAGTCATTCATTTGAATTGTGTGATGAGTTTCGGAGGTTATATCAAAGAGGTGACTGCATTACTTTTAAGTTTCCGTGCTTATTACCGACTGTGGATGTTAATAATCGGATACTGCTTTGAGCTTATATATATTTAAATCCCTCAGCATCACCTATTGTTATGGATTTTAAAGTATTTAAACATAGTATCACTCAACTGTAATTTATCCTCCGCAATGATAAATGAAATAAATTCCTAAAGTTTTCGCAGTTGCATGTTCAACTATGAATTTATTTTTAATTACATAATTATGATTCGGAGTAGATCATCAAAAAATTCGAATTCATCTATATAATTATACCTTTCTCTTGTTAACCTTTAAGTTTATTCCAGTTATTATTTCTTTTAAGAGTTATTACGCGGTTATATGCTTCCATTCCTCCAAGCTAATAAAGATTTACGCACTATGCAGTAGAGGTTGCTACGTAGTAAACGAAATTCTGTGATCTATTTACTAATATGTTGTGCACTCATGGTTTTATGAAATATCATTTAGCAATGGAAATTGATTAACAGTGATATAATGATGGACCTGGATATTTGAATCAATTCCAATGTAGTCTCTATGTGAGAGGTGGCAAGATTTTCACAAAGAACTATTAACTTTTAGGTTTGTATTTGATGCTTTTCGATAACTTGTGTTGTGCTCGCTAAGTTGTGTAGATAAATCATGTATATACGAATAGGCTAAAAACCTGGCGATGGCAAACTCTTCTGCACCTGCCAAGGAAATTTATTAAGTCAGAAAATAGTACCTGTCAAATGATTAAACTTTAAGAATTTTCAACTAAATCAGCTTATTACCGATACAACTGTGCTAAGGTAATAATTAAGAATTTAAGATTACTTTACCTAGCTTCTTTAACCTCTTCATATGCTTGAGAAACAACAGTTGTTGGCAAAAAAATTACAAGGAGTTCTTTAAGAAAGCAGCTTTTGATTAAAAACTACAAAAATTAAGCTCGGCATAAGTTGAAAAATATTTAAACTAATAGACCTGACTCCATGGTTATTTTTTAGTTACTTTCTCCAAGATCTGTAATAACGTTCTGTACAAATGTGGAAAAACAGTCAAAAAGATGTCCTAGAAAGTCATTTGAACGGATCTAGTGGACAAAACTTCGTAAATAACAGCAGCAGTTTAAGCTCATACGCAACGTCCAATGGTAAGTTTTATTTAAACTAAAAATCGTTATTGAGAGATTCTGAATCGAGTCCAATCCTTGAACCAAGGGACTCAAAGTTTGGTACTAAACTATGGTTATCGAAAACGGGCCTTAACTGTCCAATTTGTCAGCATGATTTCTGCTTTAGCATGCTTTTGTGTACTACTGGACAAGAACAAAATGGCTTAACAGAAAACTCTATGAAAGTAATTCGTGATTTGCATTCTAGACTTCATGGTGTTTCACTTGTAAGTGTCTTTAAAATGCTTTGAATTATAATTTTTCGTTGATATACTAAAAGATGTTTTATGAGCTATTTTACGGGAATATGAATGATTTTTATCTATAGACGGTTTCTAACCCAAAAGCTGGCAAGCAAATAAGACAATAACCTTAGACGTTGTTTACTATAATTGGAAAAATCAATGACTGTTTCAAATTAAACCTCTTTTCCGCTTTGAATAAGATTTTTAGTATAGATAGCAAGTAGCATTTTTTGTTTCCTTTTCAAACACCTAAAGTAGTAGTAACAATAAAAATAAAACACGTTACATTATTTAGATCCCTAGATAAGTGTATTTAGTAGATTTTATTTGCTAGACAAGATGTATTAGTTTGAAATCTGGTTTCTTTAGGTTCACTTAGGTCTTATTCAATTAAACTCTGTCACTGGTCTTAGCTGTTAGTAATATTGCAAATGTAACGTACCTCATCTACATTGGTGCTGTAGTTCGATTTTATCCACCTGAATACTGTTTTTGCTCCATTCATATTAGTGTTCACCATGTGGCTTTTTTGTTTGTCTTTCTCTATCTGTTCAAAAACACCCATAAGCGCTCATTGTCAGTTTTCCTTTTTTAGAAGTTATGATTTAAAACCATATAATAGGACAAAAAGAACTGATGTGTCCCACGATCGAATGCCCCTCTGTGATCATAAGTAGAATATATTGACAAAATCAAACCGACCCATCTATTTTAGTAAAAACTCTAATAAATCAAGCAGATGGCAAATTTAACCGGATAATGTCATAAAATTACGTTAGTTTCCGCCTTGAGATATTTGTTTAAATCGTTTTCATATTTAGAAAGTCCCAGATAAATACCAAATGTTCTCACATATTTGGTAAACCATCCATTTTTTACTTTGAATAGCTCCTTGTTGATGTATAAAAAACATATCTTTCTATATAAAGGCAACAATAAATCATTATGGTCTCATAAAGCTTCAAGCTGATTGTTTTAGAAACTCATATTTCTATTTGACACTGTTACCTAGTTATTTCTAAGCTTTGGTTGATGATTCGCGTTAACATTCCCTGATAATTGATCGCTTTGAATAAATTATTTTTGTGCAGCAAAATCCAACGCACATAAAAATCTTGGTATATTAAATAAAAATACAGCACCTTTGGCAACGTTTTCGGGATCATAATAAACCAGTCCTATGTGGCGATATACTAAGTAATTCATCGTTGTAAATGCCTCATACCTCATGTTGTCTTCTTTAAAAAGAGTATTATATGCCGGTAAACGATAGTCAGCCTGAAAAACATCTTCAGAAGCTTGCCGCCCATCCGAACCAGTATTCAGATGTCACTACTTGCATATACAATTATCTTGCAATGTTTTAAATATATTGTAGGGAAATTGGCAAGAACAGATATCTGATAAAAATTATTTTACTACTAATCAATGTTCTTTTACTTTTACTTTATGCCACAGGAATGTACCGTTCTGAGGTCAGAACTTGAAGTTCTTTACAAAGCATTTAATTCAAAATGTCAGGCAGTCAAGATTTTAACGAATAATGTAAGTAATATCAAAATAGATTATTAATGATTTTGATGTGCTAACATCCCATCATGTGTATGTATATTGGCCTATGAACAGTATTATCTAGCTTCTGATCTTTATCGTCATTAATTGATGCAACTATCAAGACTGTTGGTCATCGGTTAAAGTTTAGACAATTGAGTCGTAGAGCTGCAGATTTATATAATTAAATGTTGGTAGTTAATTTATGTTAACGACATTAGTGTAACATCAAATTGCGAGTATAATTGTATAACTTTATTTGGTAAATGCACTGCTTCTAACTGTGACCATTTGACCTTTGGACAATCTTGCCGATGAATAACATTACTTTTGGCTACTTAAAACTTGGACAGAACAAATTAAAACTATCACCACACTGCTTAAAAAGTACGGAAAAATATGGGCGGCTAAGGGTCAGTAAGAACCAAATAGTTTGAAATTGTGATGTTATTTTTCAGATGGACAAATGTTGGTTATCGTAAATAAGGATATAATGTAAATGTTTTAAAATAACAAGGATAATAGTATGAATGAAATCTTTACGTTTTAGTTGAAGGTAATTGAGCATGATGTGCCAAGAAGGATGGGAACAGACGTAGTCCAAAGATAAAAAAAATATGGCAGAAGAATGAGTCCCTTAAATACCACCAAGTAATTACAGTAACTCACGCAATAAGGGTCCTGAATTAATTTTAACTGTTGAAAACTAAAACTTCATTATTCTATGTGTTTTCCTAATTAGTTTCCAGAGAAATTAAGCAGTTTTACATACGAAGCGACTGAAATCCCATATTACTGATTTAGTTACATAAAATAAAGACTATCGTTCTCTATTAATGAGTAACACAAAAGCTTTGGTCTAGATACTATGGCCTGGTATAGCAAAGGGTTTGAAATGTGTAGGAGGATCTAAAATGATTTCATCCACTTCACTACTACCGATTTTGGGCCATGTCACACCTAGTTTTTAACTATAGATTGTGATTTTGTCGCAAAACCTACCCGGTAAACCTCTGTCACCAACATTGCTCAAATCAGCAGTCATACACAAGTAACGTGTTTGTCCTCCCTATTCTTTAAAAAGCCACCTTTTATCCCATCCAGTAGGATGATCTGAGATAGGGGATAGCTGGAACCGTTAGTAAAAACAGTGTTCAGGTTAAGAACATGACATTAACTACAGTAAAAAAGTCATCGGAAGTAACGTTAACATTTTCTCGATCGATAACAGTATAATATTCATCCCGTAATACCTACCATAATAATCAAAGTGACAACTAATTAATAAACAAGTAATATGTGGTTAAGCTCTTTTTCAGAGGAGCACTCACTATTCTTCTGCAATAATTATGCTCCTATTCTAAACGGGGGGTTCGTCAACAGCTGATTAACCCATTTTTAATTTCGTTTTTGGGAAGAAGGAGAAAGTAAACCATAATCGTTTAACATAATTAACTAAATTAAAAGTCATCATTTGAACATGAACTATTTCTCGTACGACTCTGTTGTATTTATTTTAAATCATACGTCCACTAGAATTCCACTTCTACTCAGATTTTCAAAGAGTTAAATCATTATTAGCTGTGGGGAGTCATACTGTGAACTTCAATAAGAGGAAGTAATATATTTTGTAATTTACTTAAAATACGATAAGGCATTACCTACTAATGAATAAACAATGGATCATTTCATTGAGGAAAACTTTATAGACAATGATTTAACGATTAATTTGATTTCATGAAAGTAGTCGAACCTAACAACTTCATACTAGGTTTTAAATAACCACAGGATGCACATTTACAAAAATTTGCCAATATCTTTTTGAATAGTAGTTCATTTACATGAATTAACTGTTAAATCCCTTAGCAAGAAAAACGTAATTTTATGAAAAGTTACTAGAAATATGTTTTCCAAATAACCACTTAGTTTCTATAATCTGCATTATTGTAAAAATAACTGTTTCATTGCATAATTTATCTTCAATTCACGTATATACTGTACATTAAATATTTCTGGAATCTTCATGTTAACCAATATTGTTGTGGATATTTTGATAAAAATCTAGGGTTCGCATAGATACTCATTGGCTTCATAAATATCAGCTGTCTTAATAATAAGATTTTTATTCAAATATGATAATACTGAATTTATACCCTTCGGATAATTTCGTAAATGTATATTATAAAAAAGGTAGCATGAATTAATTATTTCTGTGTATCAGCGAAACAGTTATTTCACATCAGTTCGTCAGTTCACGGACAAAATTCTATTTTGATAATCACTGAAGTATATTCTGACTGACAAGTTCAACATTTTTATTGTTTTCCTGATATGGATTATGTATTGTGCAAAAAAGCACCAATTTCAACTGTAAGTCATGAATTAACGAAATAACTGTTTCATTAAAATCATGGACCTACCAATGTTAGACCACCAAAAAACTGAGAGCACCGGGTGGCCATTCCATCCCAGTATGGAACTCCTCAGCAGTGCGCATCAAGAATTCCACACACGGGACTCGGGCCCAAGACCATTGGTTTCGCGAGAACGCTTAACCTCTAGACCACTGGGCAGCCTCCCAACGATGCCATTGTTTAACTTCAACCAATCCACTATATCACACGACAATCTTCCATTGTCTTCGATGGATAACTGCCTCAGCCGACATGGTTGAGCTCCACTGGTCACGGCTTCTCATTAGAATTCAAATAACTCCCTTTCGGAGCTAGTCACAAGTGGACACATGGTAAGTTTTAGTTTATTGTTGTAGAGATCGTCAAATGTCATTGAAATAATTGTTGGTATTAAGTGAGTACAAGACAGCCATTTCATCTTATGAATTATGTGTCATAACAGGCCATATTACAAATTAAAATTTAGATTATACAGTCTGAATGATTTATGTTCAGTTACGTGGTCACTAGCGAATCTTTACTGCTTAACAACATATGTGTCTAATGACAGAAAGAAACACCCATACAATACTATTTGATCTAAATAATTTCTCTATTCATATTGTAGTGAATTATTCCGTGAGAATAGTTAATTAAGTAAATAAGTGATCTTTAAAAGGAGTAGAAATTTTTAACTTTTAATTACAAATCTTTTAAATATAATCAATGAGATCATACTACTTTCGATCCTAACTCATTAAAAATGCTTTTCTACTCAAGCGATTTTGTGAAAATTTTTGTACAATTTATAAACAGCTTTCCTCATGAACTGATGTCAACAGGCGAACTGTAGAGAACTGAGAAGTACTGTAGACCTTTTTTCTCACTCGAACGCTATTCGGAAGTACATATCTGTAGCTTCATACCGGGCTAGACCCAAGATTTCGATTTGATAAATAGAAAGACGCATTGTCTTATAAAGATTTAAAGCGCCAGTTTCTAAGTAAACGCATCAATACTACCTAACCTGATTCTGTCTTATGTTCATGGATTTCTATTCTTTAGCTCCTGCATTTTCAAAAAGTTTGGGGTGTAAAGCAAACTGAGGTTAAAGGAGCGATCCTTGATCTGTATTGTAATAAAAACTCTCTACAATCCCATTTTTTATACACACATATCAGACGATATTTTGCTGTAAAAGTTTTTTACTTCATTGAGTGATGAGAGTAACAATGAGTCCTTGTTAATATGACTATATTATCCAGAGTGTCTTCATAAAAGACTTCACCCAAGGTCTAAATTCTAATTATTTCTAATCCAACTGAATCCCTTGACCTGATCTTCTCAGTGTGTACTATTCCAATTTTCCTCCTTCTAACAAAAATTAAGGTACACATTAGTTACTTTCAAGAAATCTGATGTTGGAATACACTAATAAGTTTTCGTCGACTATGTTTATTTATCTCTCCCACCTGATAGTCAACTATGCGATTCAGTTAAACCAAACCTCAAGTGAACTATGAAATATTTATGACCAATTTATTAATGTAATTCGATATGATAAAGATTGTTTGTTAAATAAACTAGTGTTAATTGTTCAATCATTTAGGCTGTATTGATCCACCCTAGTTAACTAACCTAAAGCGTATAATCAGTAAACCTATTAGATATAATACTTTATGGTTGAGATTAAGTTTAAATGTATTAAAGATTTAATTACTGAGAGTTTCTATGTTTCTCCACCCAATTTCCTTTAAATATGAATTTAATCATAGGTATCAGTCAACTAATTAACTTTCTATTTGTTCTAATACTGTTCAATTGTTATTTCGCACCCTCTTACTTTACTTACGCTTGTTACTCCCAATGGAGCAGCATTCTCCAACCCACCCTCACAAAGCACTAATCTTGTGTATGTTTGGTAGCAGAAGTTGTTGTAGCCATAGACGCTTTTAAGTATCGGTCGATAAGTATAATTACTAAATTAGATTTATCTGGCATTTCAACTGTATTCAATGTGCTTGCTTAGTTAAAGAACTTTACTAAACTATGTAATGAAGAAATCGGTTAGATTTGACGATAAAAACTCAATGTGTAGCTATACTCTTCCTGTAAATAATACAAATAGAATAATGTACAATATGAATATCAGAGAGGGAGAATATGGGTAAAAATGAAGTCCTTCCTAAACAATGCATTCAAGGAAAATAATAGAGGATGAGCATTTAGAAACCGGATTATCTATAAACAGCAACTGACTCATTAATATGTGAAGAAATGATCATTGCCTTGGAAATGAATCTATGATTGTCCTTCCGGTTGGACTGGCACTACTACTCCGTAAACACCAAAGTGCACTCTACTCAAATGTATATCTCAAGAGTATCCTGCCTAATGAACGATCCAAGTTAAGTAACAGTTTTATTTTTCAATATCTGCTTTACTTAAATAATATTGTTTCATCAAGATTTGCCCTTAAGAAAATCGCTACGGTCAAACCCGATAGTTAAGACGAAGTGCTAACATGCCGGTTATGCAAAACAGTTTGTTAGAAACTCACATACTGAAAAGGAAATGCACTACAAAACAGAAAAACACGAGTAATATCTCCCTAACATCAGAAAATGCAATCTGTCTATCCTCTTATTTCTATATAGGTATAATACAACGTTCTTCATTTCTTGTTATTAGTTTTATTAATGTCTTTGATATCCTTTGTATACATCTGTTACCACCATTTTCATTTCCTGTCGCTGATTTATTTCAAATGATTAACTTTTTTGAAATTCTTTGAGTCTATGCAATCTACACTTAGCTTTATATCACTTTGTTGATTAATACACAATCTCTTTTCATACCCAAAAATAGATTTACCATTCTTATCATGACCATTTTTGCTTTGATCATATAATTTTATTTCATTGGTAATAGCTAAACCATAAATTTACGGTGGACTTAGTTACACTTGTACAACTTTTAGAAGAGACGTCTTTGAAGAAGAAAATATTTACAAAACAGCTAAAATATCTAGACATTCCTAACAATATACAACACTTGTGAATGAATAGAAACTAACTTGTCGTATGCAAAGTAGTTGGCTATATGGAGTAAGATTTCTAAGGATTTGGACGAATAACTTAATCAACACTTCAAACTAAGAAAACGATTAATTTTTAAATTTAAGGATAATAAATTCAACGATTATTTTAACTGGTATCTGACATATAGAAGATGGATAAATTTTATTCTTCATCAGAATGAGGTTTAACTTAATTTTAGAAGTTAAATTCACGAGTCGATGTAAGCTAGACCACCAGTGAAAAATTGGAAGCACTGGACGGTCATTTTGTCCCAGTATAGGACATCTCAGCAGTGCGCATCCACGATCCCGCATGCAGGACTCGAGTCAAAGACCTCCGATCTTGCACGCGAACCTTAAACCTCTAGACCACTGAGCCGGCTTCCAACGGTGTTAATGTCTAATTTCAATCGATCCATGATCTTGCGTAACCATCCATCCGTTGTCTGAGGTAGATACCTGTTTCTACCTGATTCGGATCGGACTCCTCTAGTCACAGCTTCTCTGTAGTGCTGAGGAGTCCCATACTAGGACGAAAGGTCATTTAGTGCTTCCAATTATTCATCGATGATCTAGCTTATATTGACTCATGGATTCAATCATTAAAATTTATTTCTATCAAGAGTTTTTAACATACTTTGCAAATAAACGATCGAAATTTTCTATTTTATGAAAGCCACATGGCTAATAAACGACTTATTTAATATTTTTGTGATTGTGAACTAATGTCGTCTGGAATCCATTGAAAACAAAGGAGTATTCAAATATAACAGTATGCTTTCTATGAAGCCTGAAGGTTCAGTCTTGAATGAAAACATAGGTGTATATTGCGCAAAACCAGAAGGTTGTGACCACCGGACTTTTATATCTCGCAAACGGAACAATACCCTTTGATTTCTAATCATTCTGCGAATGAAATTTGTTTCCGGAGAAATTTACACATAAACATCTCAGTATATTCAATGGTGCTTGCTGTAATCATTCTTTTGTTTACTTTGATACACATATAAAAGAAAAGAAACGTCTCATATGAAAAGACGACAAAGAACCGATCAGTAAGTCGGAAGCATCGATTCAAGTAACAACACCAAATCAGCTCAGAGAGATGAAAATATTAAAAGGAGGGCAGTAATAGTATCAGCGCTAGTAGTAATATCAGTGATAATAGTAATCATAGTTAATATAAGCTACAATAAAAATCAAATAAGTTATTCATCATTTTGTTATTATTGTCGTACACACTGAAATTTTAAGTAGTTGAGATTTTTTATCACATGTTAACTTTATTGGATATTGAGAGAAATTTCATTTACATTTTATAAAAAAACATACAGAGAGTTGAGTAATTATGATGGAATTATTATCAATATGCCAATAAATTTAGTGACTAATAAATTTTTAGCTATTTAGTTTCCTCTTGTACATTAATCCAAACAAAAATGTGTGTGTTATATCTAATGTACACGTGAAACTACGTATGCCTTCATCATTCATAAACATGAATGTATTATTAATAGCAAACTACTAAAATGATACAGTCATTTATTAATTACTAACATTTGTAGCTAAAAATTGAAAATACTTAATGTCAATTAAAGTTTTACATGTACTTGTATGGATGTAAATATGTATGTTCACTTGCAGAAAGAATTTTTTTCAGTATGTAACCATGATATTGTGTATGTTGTTCCAAGTGTTATGTCATTAATTTAATCTGTAGAGCGATAGATACACGTAAATATTATCGAAAAGCTCTAGGATAAAAATACTTTCACCTCATAGTCCTTCAGGTTTATGCGTGGTTTATTAAGGTATTCGATTTTGGGATGATAACTGATTTCGAAAATAAAAAGTAGAACAAAAGCAATGTTAAACAACTAGAGAAAAAAAACTATCAGATGTTTTGTTGGGATATAAGCTCTAGGATTATTAAAATAATCAGTGATTACAATCTCAAATGGTTCACTAGATAAGATATTATGTTATGTTTGGTCACAGAACTCTTAATATTCACAATAAAGTTTATTATCATAAAAAACTGGTCTATTTGTTCCAAAGCAAAATAATTCCAAGTATTGTTTTTAAAACACTATTGAATATCCGTCAAAATAAATCAAATGTATCGCTTACGCACAGTGTTTGAAAATTTAGTAGATTGGAGGCTCCCGAACCATGATATGGTATTAGTTCTTGAATTCATTGGCTGTTTTACTGAACCATTTAGATAGATGTAAACTATCTGGTTGGAGTTCATGTGATTATTGTGAGCGATAGTTGAAGACGTTGTATGATATGGCTCAGAATCGGTCGCAGATATCCCAGATTAGTCCACTATTTATCTTCCCTTAAATCGTGAATCACTTTACCGAAACCTAACCTACAGTTGAAGAACATATGGAACTTAAAACAAATTTCAACCAATATCAAAGTGAGAATCTGCAATACGAATGTCAAGGCAGTTCTACTGTACGGAGCTGAAACTTGGAGAACTACAACAACCATCATCAAGAAGGTGCAAGTATTTATAAATAGCTGTCTACGCAAGATACTAAACATCCATTGGCCGGATACAATCAGTAACAGCCTTTTGTGGGAGAGAACAAACCAGCTTCCAGTTGAAGAGGAAATTAGGAAAAGACGATGGAAATGGATAGGACATACACTACGCAGATCGTCAAACGGCATCACGAGACAAGCCGTAACTTGGAATCCTGAAGGAAGGCGCAAAAGAGGAAGACCAAAGAACACATTACGTCGGGAAATAAAAGCAGATATAAAAAGGATGAATAACAACTGGAAGGAGCTGGAAAGCATTGCCCGGGACAGGGTTGGATGGCGAGTGCTGGTGGGCTGCCTATGTTCCTTCACAAGGAGTAACAGGCGTAAGTAAGTAAGTAAGTAAAATAGCAAAATGTTGCTTTGGCTAATTGATATATACTTACTACAATGATTAAAATATCAAGAACAAAGTTTTGTAGATGAGCTCTGTAAATAATAGTGTAGGAGAGCTTTAAGTTACACCGCAACCATTAAACATATAACCATATTATTAATATGACTAATAATAATAATAATATACAATGAGAATAATCATAATAATAATTGATCATTAATACTCTTGTTTTACTAAAAAATTTTAATGAGAGTAAACAAATAAGACAACTTAAACAATAATTGACTTTAAATAAAATATAATTTTCTTTTATGAGTGTGGTGGCTTAATGTTTAGAAAAGGCAAAACCTTCGACTAATAGTCTACAGCTTCGTACCTACCTACTCATACATATATTTCAGTTTAAGCAATCAAATTGTATTAGTAACTCTCACATATTAATAATGTGTATTTTAAATTTATGTTTCATAAAGTTAATATTTACTTTTAAGTAATTCTCGTTTTTCCTAAAAATAAAATTTATTATCATTTTAGAAATTTCAGTCATCTGATGAAAATGGTCAAACGCGAAGTACTGTTTACGCTTCAACTGTTGAATTGGAAAAGGTTAAATTAGTATTAACATAATTGTTTTAATTTGAAATTATTTTTGCAAGTATGATAAACTTATTATCCATAATGATTGGTTGTAAAAAGTGTGATACTGCTGAGGAAATACACCTCATTATATGTCATTCCGAACAAACACTGTTCACAAAGAAACATATATTGCATACTTTTTAAAGTGCAATTAAATATGTCGCTTAATTGATAAGGAATAAGTGCTCCAGATACTAAATGTTATGCTTGAAGTAGTTAGGCAAAAAGTGATTTTAAAAATAAAATAAAGCATCTGTAAATATGAAAAATTAGAATCAATGGATTTAAGTAGGGACATTTCATTCGGATTCTTAACACACATATTTTTAAAGGTACTGTTCGTCATCGGCTGAAAAATAGCTGAAAATAAAGGACGAATAGACTGTTCTTTAGCCTCACTTTAAGACCTATCAGAAGGGTAGAGAAAAGAATCCCCAGAAGCTTGAAAATAATATCTTCAAATCTGAGAAATCATGATGCCTTTAAACCATGAAGTCGGAACGCAGTGATTTACATTTACAAATTTCAGCGCTTAACCCTCTAGTAGGGCAATCATTCAAGAAGTTTAGTATATATTCTCTTATACTTAACATGTTTAAACTCTACCAGTCATCACATTCACCTGAAATTCGTCTTGAAGTCAGTATATATATATATATATATATATATATATATATATATGCGCCATTATCACCAGAGATCGAAATAAATTCATATAACTGCCTTCTCTGTCAAACAAGGTACTGTCATATATGAAGTTATTTCAAGTGCGTGCAGTTAATTAGAGGTTTTGTGTAGTACAACTTCATACAGGCCTCTATAATAAACATTTGATTATTTGAAAAATCGACTCAAGTCTCCAAGTTATTCAGTAGTAGGTTAGATTTATTTTATAAGAATGATTAGACGTTTTTTTCAATAGAAATATTTCGTTAATCTTGTTTACGTTGACAATGTACTTTGAAAATTGATCAATATAACTTATAATAAAACATTATTTATACAAGGATTAGCTATGAAAAATAGTTAAAAAATCCCTAATTAAGGTCAATCCATTTTTGAACAATTTAGGTAAGATTATCGAAGTTAATCAGTATATATGATATATCTTTTGACGACACTCAGTAAATTATACAAGTACATTTCTCAAATATTAGCTCTAATTGTAAATCTACCACAACAAATTACTTTGTTCATTCACGATAGTCTTATTTGTTTCATATTTGTTCTTACTTTTGTTAATATTATTCACATTCGTTAAATTTTATTATTTGTTCCCAAGACCAACACGTAATGTATTGACAAAAACGGCTTAAGTGGTTTTACAAAATCGATAAATATGTGTTGATCACAAAGCCAATTATTTATAATATTTATGAATAAAGTTTTCAGGTATGTTTTATGCCATAAGTAAATAATTTGTGTCAAAACATCAAGCTACAGAGAACCTTCATCAAAGTGATTCACATATAATGGACTACTACATATATTTCGCACCGGGTCAATTATAGATTATATCCACTAGAGGTTTTATCTTTTCAACTTTTATTTTTATGGTTTTGTGTCTTATGTGTTGAGTGCTCCAATTTGGAATCGTTCATCATCGTTTTATATAACATTAGTGCTTAACTCAAATGAATACACTAAAATTACTCAGCAAGTAATAAATCGGACCGTTCTGATACTTTTTCCAGTGATTGGTTAACCTTATATTCGCTATCTCTATATGCATTTAAATCCCCATCGACTGTTGTTTTAGACTGACCTGTAAACACATGAAAAAATAAACCTTATTCTCACTTTTTCATAGGTTAAATGTATGTTTACATACACAACTATTCGAGATTGGCTTGAATGTCAAGTATGCAGAAATTATTTTGAATTCCTTCTATTCAAAATTTTAGAATTTCCCCTATCAAATTTATCTTGGTTGTTGTCTGTATGCATTTTGCTATAAGTAATCACATATAATACCTTTCAAATACTTGCGTATATTTTTGGATGTTTAATTGAAACAGATGTCTATTTTCCTCACTGTAGCTCTACTATTTGGGACAACAGACCTTGTAAATAATGTTGGACTTTTTTTATTTCATCCTTGACCCATCATTAAATGGAGTTAAATGAATACGTTGGTTAATGGGCAACACTAAATTCGTTGGTTTTCAAAATTTTAGTGATAATTTGTGAGATATTGTTACACAATAAATTGTAAAATGTCTGCAGGCTTTTCAGGATGATTTTGGAATGACAGAATAATTCACCAGATATAATTTTAGTGAATTTGCTATGGTAGTTGTTATATCAAGAGGATTTGATCTTTCTCCGAGGATCATATAAATAACTTTTTTTGTGGTCTTTTGGGTTGTTACAGTTGTGATCTAATGATTGATCTGTATGATTTGACGTTCTATTAGTTTTTGCCTCCAGTACATATAACTTCTGTCATAACGCATTAAATTTAAATGCATTAGGTAAAATTCACCTTACATTATTCATGAATACTTTTCATAGGTAACAGAATACTTAACAATAGTATAATATATATGGTTGACAACCAGTCAGATACAAATAAATTCACTTTTTTTCTTCCATTAGATCTTGAGTTTCAGAATTAAATCTTACATTCTGAGGATTATTTTTTTACAATTTATTTTCGTTTAGTCAGTTTAATTCACACTCACTGAAAATAGGTCAGTATTTATTCTAGAATTAGCAGTCAGTTCCATACCTTTTTATTCACTTTCTATAAAATTTAAAAAAATATTAAAGTGTATAACCTTCTGAATGCTTAAGCTAGAATCTCTGTTCAATGTTAAAATATCCTAACTATTTTAAAAAAAACATCTGATAATCATCAAAGCGACTACCTAACATCGTAATTACTAAAAAAATAATAATGACTGGCATTACCAAGATAATACTAAAAAGCAGATACATATAGAATCAACCAGGTCAAAGACGTCCCAATTACTCTACGATTATATTTAATTAGGATGGCAATCATCTTACAGGTTGGTTTAAGTTGGAAATGTGGTACATTAGATATGCTTACGTGGCGTTGCACTCAAAAAGCTTACAGATTCTGGTTTTGAGGTTACATGGGGTTGATACTGCTCAATGTCAAAGTATCCAAATCAAAAACGTATCATTTACCTACTGCTTTCCGACTTTCAGTGGTATTCCAATTGATTTTAGTCCATTTTTTAAACTATCACTAAACTCAACAAACCTCAGTAAGCTGCCTTACTAAATAACTTCCTAATTTTATCATGCTGATATTTTCTTTTTTAACCACAATTATTCCATATTATGAATAGGAGGACAAAGTATTTTTTTGTATAAATATTTGCAAACTAAAAACTTCTTAGTGATCAAACAATATCTGTACTTTTTATTTCCAGGAAATAAACAAACTGAAAATAGACCTTGAATTAAGTAAAGGTGCTCTGTTATCACAACAGCAGTCGTCTAAAGCAAAAGTTCAACAGTAAGTAATAATTCTCATTTATATTTTCAATCATTTGCAAAAGACTTAAAGTATAAATAGATACATTTTGAACTTATTAATATTTCGTTAATTTATAACTGATGTTCGCGTTCTGAAGTGAGTTCAATTAATAATAATGAAGTTCGTTGTTTTGTCCTCATTTATTGAGGTATTATTAAAAGTGGGAACACTAATTAAGAAATGGTTAGTTTATAAGCGGGAGATAAGGTATAAAAAAGTTATTTGTAATGGGTTAACAACCATTGGCTTATCATAACAATGACAAGTAGCCTGAGACTTTATCGATTATGGCTTAGGATAAACTTCAGTGTCAGTTCTTTTGTGATTTTTATTTTAATCCTCATAAACAATAAGATATATCTAGCTGAACGAAATTTATTTTACCCGTATTTCTACTGAAACTGTATGTTTTACCAACTTTCATATCTCTTTTTTATGACTTTTCGGCACCTGTTTCATTATATCACTGTAACTTCGTAATGAGTTTATAAATACCCTTATCACACCAAAAATATTTTTGTGATATAAATGAATCCACTTTTTGTGTCGTATCGGAAATTGATTAAAACTATATCTTTAGTCTTCGCTTCAGTGACAAAAAGTTAGTTACCTCTTCTCAATATCTAAATGTTTGGGATTCAACACTGTTTCATAATAAGACTATTTGAGACACCGCTGAATAGTAGAACAAGATAGACTCATTTTTCGGACGCTAAAAATATCATAGGTTTGGTCGTATCGCTACCTTTCCAAAGGTTTTCAAATTTCAATGAATAACCATTATTTACTACTGTTTCAGTCAGTAAAAACAATTTTGTTTTATTTTTTCACTAAATCACAAGTATAGATTTCTAATAACAATAAAGATACAACTTAATAAGCTTACAAGATGAAACATAAATTATGTGAAAACGTTAGTGCATTTAATATGTAGTCACAAACTTGCCAAGTTTGACTATTTTTTTACATCAAAGCTCATTATTAACCTTCAGAATTTCAGTTGTTCAGAATCTAGAAATGATTTTTTTCGAATTTAAGTCCAAGAATGATAATAGAAGACTGTGTTTAGATGAACAAACTAATTTTAAGGAATAAATGGAACAAGCATATTAAAATTCAGTTAGAAAAAAAGTGAGGTTTTTGTTTACAGAAATGGTTAAATATGATTACATATTGTGTTGAAATGATATCACTTGGGTCTTTTCCGGGTTTTCCCTCAATCTAAAATCAATCAATTTGTAGTGAAGATTAGTTTTATGTTTAGTTGCTTAAAAAATTTCAGGAATTTCTTTTTAAAAGAATATTTAGAAAAAAATAATAATAAAGTGTAATTATTTCACTGATTTTATTGATTTATTTTATCAAATAATCAGTCAATGTTAAGTATCACATTTCAGCTATGCATATATGAAAAAGAAATAGTTTCACTCTAATTGTAAAGAGAATTTTAAAATATCGCAAATTTTCTAATTAACAATATTGAACTTTAAAATAAGATATAACACTTGAATAATCGTTCTTCAATGAAATAGTTAGTATGTTTTGAGCTAGTAGATATCAAATGTTGAGATGATGAGTCAAGTGAAGCTAGATCACCATGAAAAACCTGGAAACACTAGACAGCCTTTCTGTCCTACTGTGGGACTCCTCAGCAGCGCTCACCCACGATCCCGCATCGCGAGATTACAACCCAGGACCTGTCGGTCTCGCGTGCGAATGCTTAACCTCTAGATCACCGAGCCGGTGTCCAGTGGTGCTAATGCCTGACTTCAACTAATCCATAAAATTGAGCGAGACATCCGCCATTGTATTCAGTGAGTTACTATCTCACAACAGACTCGGTTGATTTTTGAGACCGACAAGTCCTAGGTTCGAATCTCGCGAGGTGTGATTGTGGATGCGCACTGCTGAGGAGTCCCACAATAGGACGAAACGGCCATCCAGTGATTTCAGGTTTTCCATGGTGGTCTAGTTTCAGTTGACTCACGACCTCAACCATTGAAATTAGTATAATATCCACGCAAACCCCTTCAGATATCAAATGGCCGTTATTTTTGTTTTGATAAAGTAGTATTCATCATGAACATTTTTGTCATATCTTTTATTTATAAAAAATAAGAGCCTACTTACGTGGTTCATTGATTTATAAGTTGAAGCGTTTTCGATTACTCATTTTCTTTCTTACTGTTCTGTTCTATTAAAATGACAAGTCCTTGGAAATACATCCAAGGAGGCCTAAGCATAATGAAGAGTAAAGGAAATCTGAACTCAGAATAGAAAAAAATGCCTACAAAATGACAGTGAACAGTGGTGTCAAAATATCAAAAACAATTACTAGGCAGTGATGAATTGTTAGGCTATTTAATTAGAAGCCAGTGGAACAACTGGAGGAGGTTTCATGGGTTTTGTTGCTCAGAAGAACTTAAACAAAGTACAAACTTCGATGTCTATAGAATATAATAAACTCACTAGGTTTCGTTGCCTTCTCGTAAATACATACAGACTATTAATTTCCGTTAATCCAAAATATTAACATATTTGAAATTTTTGAGTAATGCATTATTATCAGAGGTCAGCAAAATCTTAGAAATTAAAATCATAATGAGAGCTTTAAGTTAACGATTTAGAAACAAAATTAAAAGAAACTTGTAAACACCAAATAATTTTAATGTTCTTTAACGACAACTCATCGGTTAAAAATTTCAGGTAATTTAATATTTTTACTAACGAAAATTATAAGTTGTGTAAATCTGAGAAAAAAAAGCAACGAAATACAATGAATTTATCGTATTCTACAAAAATTCTCATTCTTACTCAAGTGCTCTTCAGTTAGTCTTCAGATGTTATCCATTCCTTTATATTTTCATCAATAGCCTACTATCACTATACTTTTATTGAGTTTCTTAACCTTAAGTCTGCATTTGGCCTCTTTGATAGTTTCCATTAATTTACTTATCTCATGGTTATCATTATAATTAAAACAAGTTTCTTTCTATTCAATATTTGGATGATAGATTAAATAATGAAAATGGAAATTTAAGAAGACAATTGGAAAATTTACAACTTAAAACTGGACAATTATTAGAAGAAAATATGCGTATGTAACTGAACAGTTTAATTTTATGTATGTGCTTCAAGGTTACTTGTTTATCTTTTTCTTCCTAATTGATAGAATTCTTGTTTTAAATGATTTAATTATAGTCGACCTCTTATCATCATATTAATAGTGAACTAGCTATTAACTAAAAAATAAATTATAACTTTCATTAGTGAAATGATTTTATTTCATCAATAATTTTGTGCAAGTGAATATATTAATCAGACATTGTAATATATCAAACTATTAGTGTTTTATGTTACAATTATACATGGTTTTAGTAATTAGTTAAAATTATTGAATATTAGTTTTGCTAGACCAATGTAAACCAGATCGATAAAATCTATCCATTGCTGAGAAACTCAAACAATTTTAAAAAAAAGTGTTTATTCAATTTATGTTAAATGAATAATTCAGAAGATTTGTTTAGATGGTGGTTGGAGGTAGTCGACAGGAAACCCTGGACCCGGATTTCGTGCTACTTGGCACTGGTCAGCAAGGTGTACCTGTAATCTTGAGGGAACTGGTGCTCCATGGTGGATTCGATCCCGTGTCACCCAGCTTCACAGTCAGAAACGTTACCACTGAGCTATCCAGGCCGCGACTGACCTCATGTAGGGCTGAGATGTAACCACAATTGATTGAGCATTCGATCTGCACTAAATAAGGACTTGATACGCATGACATTGATCACCACCCAATGATCAATCAATTGTGAAAAGATTTGTTTATTCCACTAGTGTTGATGTGAAACTAATTTTAAAAGTATCTGTTTGAGAATCAATAAAATATTAAACAGCAGAGTGTATAGGATTAATGGGAATGTACTACTGATTGAATGAATTCCTTTAACTAGGTAGTAGACAATGAATTAAATCTAGTAGAAATTAAAATAATATAGTGATTATATTTATAATGTTGACTCACTCTTAGTTGCAGTATTCGACTTACAATTAACAAATGGCTAATTTAAACTCCCATTTAACTTTCAAAACGTAAAAAGTATTGCTCAAAAGTCGAGCATATGAGATGAATACATGATCACTAAGTTACAGTATTTGTATTCTATAACTATTGTTTCCTATTTTATTTTGACAAGGAATAATCATTCATTCAATAAAATGACATCCGATCACATTTTTTTGTGAGAAATAAATCAACACTAACATTACTATCATACGAGGTTATTTTTAAGTGTTGAAATCACTATTTTATCTTTACTGCTAATTTTCACAGTTAGTTTTTGAATTCATTACTATAGTTCAATTGACTACATAATTTCGATAACATCAATCTCTTATAAGTTCATCTAACTTTTTAAAATTTATGCTTATGGGGATTTTTAGTTTTTATTTTGCTTTTTACTTATGTAACATAACAGTCTAAAGAGGACAATATATAACTATTGATATTGGTGACCGTAAAATGACTACGATAACTTTGACATTTGATAGCCAATCACAATAAAAATAAACTAAATGAACTTGATATTGAAAACTCGAGAACGCATTAGGGTTGTGGTTTCCTTGAAGAATTCATAAATCGTGTCTAAATTTTGTGTACGTTTTGGTTGCATTTATTCCCTATTATTTTTTTTTCATTAAAAACTAATCGATTTCCAAATGTCATTTAATGAATTGCTCAAGCTCATCCACATTTCTTAGTCCATCCTGAATTTCGTGTAAACATCAGAGAGTATCTATCTGAAGTCTGATTCGTTTATCCACAAAGCGTATCTTCACTCGTCACGAAAACGAATATAAATGAAGATGTACATCTGTCAATCACTATTTCAAAGTGTATTTCTCGTATATACTCTGAATCTTAACAAGTTGAACTAATATTAAGCGGAAATTAATAATGGAATATAGCATGGATAAATAATATTATAAAAATATGTTGCATCCTTATCCATACCTTTTCAGTGGTTATAACTTCCATATATCCTTTTACTTAATGTCAAAACACTTGTTCTTTTAAATGTTGAATATCATGTAAGGCTTATTAATTTTATGACTATCACATTTTCTATAGCTGGAACAATCTTTAAGCGTTCACTAAACTGATGTTTTCATCAAATATGCATTATTCGAAAAACTTAGGATCGAAGTATACTTTTGCATAAACATTAAAAATAATTCTCGACAGATCACACCAATATTCTGGAAACTTCTAAGGTCTAGTTGGCAAACTTGAAGCCATTCAACTAGAAAAGCTTCTTCAGTAATATCAAAAGATAATAGATATTTCATCTGGTAAATAAATGTAGTTGCACAGCTGTAACTGTATTTTACTTGGAATTCATTATAGTTATAATTTAGGCACGAGAAAAATTAAGCCATTTCATGTAGCTATATACATATTTCAAAATGTTCACTGGAATTTGTTGACTGCTATTTGGAATTGGACCCCTTATTGAAATAAGAAAAGTTCTTAATAGATTTTATACTCCATGACAAGACTGAGAGTAAATCTATGAGTGATCTTCAACAAGAAATCATGGAATCCCAGATGAGTCAATCTCAGTATGGTTTACACAAATATCTTATACCATCTGTTGAGAAATATTTGTAAGGGCTTCTGACAGCATCTAGGTCTTTCGACAATAAACAAATTATATTTATCTTTTATTCTAAAATAGTCATAGTATTACTCACAATTTGTATGCCTCATGAAATTGATAATGATCTGTTCGACTAAATCTAAGATTTTCAGTGTCATAAAATGTCAATGAGGTATAAGCTTACAAAAGTAGATGAAATTTCAGCCATATTTTTTACATGTTACTTAATATCAACCTTTTTGTTTTTATGTTACGTTAGATCTTCTACAGAAGAATACAATGTTAGTCTGTTCACCTACATATGAAGAACGAGTAGAAAAATCACCTGAAATAACCGATTCAGATAAAAGTACCAAGTTTTATCTGAATAAAAATTCACTGGAGAAGTTAGCTGATCAAGACGTTCCACTTACATCAGAAGGCATTCTTTATGTACTAGAAAATCAAATTAAATCACAATTTCATGATAAAAGAACGTCATTGCCTGAAATAAAAACAAATTTAAAAGATGCTTCTATTTCTCAGAATGGATTTCAATTATTTTTCAGTCGTTTACGTTCATCTAAATTAGATAAGATTTTAAACGTTCAACAGCAACAAGAACGGTCTCATAAATCTTTTTATATTGAAAAAGATAGTCAGTGCGATTTTAATTCATTCATTCATCAAAGTCCCGGTATTCGTGAAATCTCTGTCCCTTTAAAATGTTTGTGTGTAAATGATTCAGATGAAGTTTGTGAATGCGCTCGAACTACTGTTAATGTTCAACGACAACTTTTACAGTATAAGTGCCAGGTATGATTAAATTAATGTGTAGATGACAATTGTGTTTACTATTTATTAAATCTACTGAGTATTTACTTTAAAAAAATGAAAACGAGATTCACTTTTCGAAGAAGCCAATACAACTCTTTTTTAATTTATTCATGAGAAATCATATATATATTCCGCTCAATATATACTCGGATTCTAGCCATAAAGATTTTATTTCACAAAAAAATAAGGGAAATCAATCTTATCCCTATATGTGGTAATTAACGTGCTCTGTTTCTTATTTCGATGGTCCAAACAGCCATTAGATGTCCTCAATAATCAAGTCCTTTACCTGGCTCACCGTTCCACATTTTATCGTTTCAAAATTATACTCGTTTCACACTTATATATCGATTCTGCATTTTGAGGACAAGATAAAATCTTAGATGGATTACTTTTGGTAACTAGAGAAAGTGACCTAATCTACTGACAGAATTGTGCATAAGAAACTGGCATACAACTGCTACTAAACCATTACTACTATAAATCTCCTTCAATAATTTCGTGAATTTTTCAATAGTTTTTCCCGAGTTTCATTAGAAAACATTCATATCATGTCTTTGTTTGTATATTTACCAAGTAGACCATGTACAAAATTAAAGTGTATTAGACGAAGCTCTCGTTATAATTTAAAATACAAAATACAATGAATCATAAATTAAAATAACAAAGATTTACAATTTATGTAATTTGAAATGAATATAATTTATGACAATCTCTATCCCTAAATCTTATCTAGCTATTCATAGAGAAAAACCCTGGTCATTTAGTTTTCATGATAGCTAAAATATATACAATTAAGTTTGAATTTTTCTTTCTGAGGATAAATACGAAGTTAAAATAGAACTTTATATTTAACTTACAGAATTTACTTAAATCATACCACTATAAATTTTAATAATTGTGGAATAACTGGAAAATCACAACAATGTATAGCCAGATAGTTGATACTGAAATAAACCATCTCTTAATGCTGTAGTTTTTAATACATGAATATGTAAAAATATTCCTTTTTATGGTCAGTTGATCAATGGAAAATAAGTAGAAATTATGTAACACTAAACATCTGGTATTCTATAAAAGTTCACTTTGTTTTCTTCCTTAAACTCTGTGCAATTCTTCCAATGATTGTACTTTGCATTAATAGCCTGTTTTTGATTTGCTAAAACGAATTTTACTTTCCTTCTCAACTCATTCACTAATTATTTGAGTATGAACCAAACTCAAAGTGTGACGGATAACAATACTAATATCCGGTTGCTCCAGTCGAAATAGGTGGGAGAGAGTTCGAACCTGGGACCTTGACCGCTATATTACACTCTGTTTTGTCACTAGTATCAAAATTAAGAGTCAGTTCCTACAGAAACACAGCAGCGAAGCCAAAATAAAACATTAAATTTTGGAGAAATCTATGATAGCTTTTACAAAACGTATTTACTTGAGGACTTGAGCCATTGTTTGGAATGTCCAAACTGTTAAAAAAGTTTAACAGTGAGACAAAAATAGCTCAATTCTAATAAGCTTAATATGAATTTTCATGTGGTTGATAATTCAAGGATTGAAATTATCTGCGAATTATTTTCTAAAAAGTAGGTTTATAGGGAAGAAAAATTTGATTCAAATCTAAACTTTATTTCCAAACATTACGATAATCAGTTGTAATGACTTCCGGTACAATTATATATATATATATATATATATATATATATATATATATATATATATCTTGAGAAAGACAAAGAGTTGTGTAACGATGGCCATTAATAATAAAAATTAGTCAATCAGACGATATTTACAAATTGGGGATTGTGAGCTGGGGAATTTCATAGTTATCCATTACGGACTGGCTTTAGCAAACACTGAACAAAACAGATATTCACATTACCATATTTTTTGTTGAAATATTACGTTTGTTATCAATGAATTAAAAACAGTTGTATTCCTTCATAACTGAGAATATTAAAAGCAATCATAAGTTATGTATATACATTGTTCAAAGTTTTTTTATAAAATGCTTTCATTATATTTATCAGCTTTCTGAAATGACAAAAAAAATCAAACAACTTGAACTATCTGAAGACGCCCATCGACACGCATTAAAAGAACAATACGAAAGAAACAAACACATGTCTGTTCAACTGACCGAAATTCTCCCATACACATCTGAAGAATTATTGAACTGTAAGTGGCATTTATTAATATTGGTTAGAAAGGATTTATTAAGGAACTACTCAATTAAGTCAGTGAGTTTGTGGAACTATATAGTTTGAAATCGATTGGCACTGTTATGGTATAATAAATATGACAACGTTAGGTAAAACTGCTAGTTGTTGGTTTGAAGTCTGTAGATTTATTGGCTGAAGCCTTGGAAATTTCGTAGTTTAGTGATTGCATTGCGCTTACGGAAATAAACTCGTTATATTCACTTTAAACAACAACTATTATCTCGTTAACTCTTTAGTTTTTTATCGTAGAAGTCATAAGTGTATTAAATCTCAGTCTGTAACGTAGAATGATGCAAAACGGCTGATCTGTACTTTTGAGAAATTTAATGAGTTATTTTGTTAGTCCCATTGACACTTCGAATGAATTTTGCATTGTACAAGGATATTTTGTACCTGCGTAAAAAGTGATTTAAAGTTAAAATACATTAGTTGTATTGCCGCACAATAATAAAAGACCTTTCAATCTTATAAAGATGGTGTAGTTTCAACGAGACATTTTAATACTTCTTATAATGGAGAGAAAGTAAATATTGCCGTAAGAAAAATAAAACCACCCTCTCTCTTGAACTTTTGTTTGTAGAATATGAAAACGTTGTGCGTTAGATATTGATACTGAGTTGTTAGCTAGTCTCTGTGGTTTATTTGTCCTATTGTATAGCGCGCTTGTGATGATTGTTGATGCAAAATTGAGGCATTAGTAAGAATGCACGCTACTGATGTACAAAATCATTGAGGTACACATGAAGGATTAAAGGACTGTTGGATACATTTCTTGATACCTACAACTATAAAATATACCGTACTTTTCCTTTACAAAAAACTTAGAAATTTAGAAAAGTTTTTAAAGATCCATCTGTCAATACATATTACCACTTCGATGATTAGAAGCCATCATTTTTGGACGGAAAACATACCCTTGAACGAACAGGCATATAACAGTCATAATTTATACAAAATCAGCACAAATATTTTGTGAAATAAGTTACACAAGTTGTTTCCATTTTTAAACAGGATTCATGTTTAAATCGGTTTTGCATATCCGAAATACAATATGATTTACTTGAATTACAACCTAGAAATTTATCCTAGTAACTTCCCACTTTTAATTATGTAACACCCAACTGATAATTTCGAGTAGTCTCTGTCATTATTCATAATCTTTCTTGGAAAAGTTAAATTAAGGTCTTTATGAGGACTAATCCAAGTATTGCTTGTGAAAACTATGGTCCTCACATACAAGCATTATTCTTAGATGGTTGGCATGATAAATTTACGTTTTTTCTACTTTCATTTGTCACGATTGTGCAATTAATGTGTTGTGTATGCGGTTGTATTTCTTAATTGTTAAAATCCTAATTTTCTGGGATGAAATTAGTTGTGTTGTCCAAATATATATATGTGATCATTTGTGCTACCTTCTCATGATGAATAATTTCCTGTTAATAGATAGTTGTACACTACAAGGTTCTATGGAATTATCGTTCAAAAATATTTAAAATTACAATATATGTGTAGGCCAAAACTGTTTTGCTAAAAAGAACTTCCGTTTCACAGTAGTTTTGTTGTATAATAAAATGGAAAAAGGTCTATATTTCGTTTTAATAGCCGATATCTATTCAGTATGACCTGTTCACTAATAAAAATCAATATTACATAATTTTACATTACAAAGTCGATAATTTTATTTAATAATCGTGTCATACACAACATTATATGTTACTGAAGTACTTATCTTCACATATTTACCAACTATTTCGCATTCCATAATGATCATCCTATTTAAATAAATTTGTCTGGTTTAACTATAATAAATCAGAAAATGAAACTAGGTAAAATGATTAAGCTAATGCTTTTATGAGACATATTTTATGTAGTTTTAAAAAAACATTCAGTTTTGTTTGAAAGATAAAACTATTTAGGGTTCATTAAAATACTCGTAAGATTAATGTTTTACCACACCATAAGATTAAAATATTATCCCGCAGCTTGTTGCGTTAAACTTCAAACAGAAACTGGTAACGCCGTCTATAAAAAACAATAGAAGCTTCTCAAAGAATCCAACACCGCCAATTGGTATGTGTGGTCATATTTGAATGATATTTTAGTGAAGTATGACTGGCGTTACTGGTCACTTGTTCACATTGAAATGCGCTAAAGATTCTCCAGGAGTATCTGAGTTATAGTGCAAGACTCACTGAAGTAAAGATATTTATGGATTTTATAAGTGAATATGTCGAAATGAACCAGCATGAAGACCTACTGGGAAGTACTCCGACGTGAGTCGAACCAAGCGGAAAAATATTAAAACGTCATCTTTTCAATCAGAGGGACTCAATTAAATCGTATACCATATAACTGATGTTTCTAGGAGATCTTCCGCCGTCGAAGTACCCATTCGAGCATACGTGATCCAGCTAGTGAACGCAAAGATATGGAAAACCCATTCAGTTGGTTTTAAGCCAAGAAAACCGGCCCCCAAGAACGAAATTACTCCGAAATCCAAGTTAGTATGTTCATAAACTTTTGAATGTTGGTCTGAATGTGAATGATTTGAAAGCGTTATCTTTTAGCCAGGAGGTTTATGCTAGTTGTACCAGTAATAATAAAGATTGAAATACACGTTCAGTTCGAAAACGTTAACTCACAATCATCAGATTCGATACATTCGACTGACGAATATTTAGAGAAACGTGAGTCTACTTTACTTACTTACTTACTTACTTATGCCTGTTACTCTCAATGGAGCATAGGCCGCCGACCAGCATTCTCCAACCCACTCTGTTCTGGGCCTTCCTTTCTAGTTCCATCCAATTCTTGTTCATTTTTCTCATGTCTATCTCCATTTCCCGGCGTAATGTGTTCTTTTGTCTTCCTCTTCTCCTTTGGCTTTGAGGATTCCATGTAAGGGCTTGTCTTGTGACGCAGTTGGGTGCTTTCCTCAATGTGTATCCTAACCACTTCAAGCGCTCCTTCCGGATTTCTTCCTCTGCTGGGATCTGGTTTGTTCTTTCCCACAGTTGGTTGTTGTTAATAATGTCCGGCCAACGGGTCCGAAGTATTTCGCGTAGACAACTGTTAATAAACACCTGTATCTTCTGGATGATGGCTTTCGTAGTTCTCCAGGTTTCCGCCCCATACAGTAGAACTGTCCTGACATTTGTATTGAAAATTCTGACCTTGATGTTGGTTGATAGACAGTTGGTTTGAGTTCCAGATGTTCTTCAGTTGTAAATATGCTGTTCTTGCTTAACCGATTCGCGCTTTCACATCTGCATCAGATCCACCATGTTCATCAATGATGCTGCACAAATATGTAAAGGTTATTACATCTTCCAAATCTTCTCCGTCAAGTGTGACTGGATTGGTGCATTCTGTGTTGTATCGGAGAATCTTGCTTTTCCCTTTGTGTGTATTGAGATCTACTGCTGCTGAGGCCGCTGCTGCTACACTGGTCGTTTTCTCTTGCATTTGTTGTTGCGATTGCGATAGGAAGGCCAGATCATCTGCGAAGTCTAGATTGTCCAGTTGCATCCTAGATGTCCACTGCATCCCGCGTTTCCCTTCAGATGTTGACGTCTTTATGATGCAGTCTATCAACAGGAGAAGGATAAAGGGTGAGAGTAAGCAACCTTGCCTGACACCGGTCTCTAATTCGAACGAGTTTGTCAACTGTCCCCCATGCACGATTTTGCACTTTAATCCATCATAGGAATTCTATATGATAGTGACTATCTTCTCAGGCACGTCGTAGTGTCGAAGAAGCTTCCATAGTGTTGTTCTATCCACTCTGTCAAATGCTTTTTAGTAGTCAATGAAGTTGATGTAGAGTGATGAATTCCATTCAACTGATTGTTCCACACTGATAAAGTGTTCCGATTTGGTCTGTACATGATCAATCCTCACTGAATTCTGCCTGTTGGTCTCGGAGTTGGGAGTCTACAGAGTCCTTCATTCTGTTTAACAATACCCTGTTGAAGACTTGTCCTGGTATTGACAGAAGAGTGATGCCCCTGTAGTTATCACAGTTGCTGAGATCGCCTTTCTTTGATATTTTGTTCAGAAGTCCTTCTTTCCAGTCTGTTGGTACTTGTTCCTCATCCCAAATCTTATTGAAGAGAATGTGGAGTATCCTTGCACTTGCCGCTACGTCTGCTTTCAGTGCCTCTGCTGGAATGTTGTCTGGTCCTGCTGCTTTGCCACTATTGATTTGTTTGATGGCCATGCTGATTTCTTCAAATGTTGGTGGGCCAACATTGATTAGGAGGTCCGTGGGTGCTGCTTCGATATTGGGTGGGTTCAGTGGAGCTGGTCGATTCAAGAGTTCTTTGAAGTGTTCTACCCACCTGTGAGTCTACTTTATTGGATTGTTATTATAACGATGCAAACTGTAAGTAACCTAATAATTGTGATTCTAGTAATTAACTAACCTGACACGGCATCAGTATTTCTTACAGACAAAAACAGTATATATCGAAAAGATGCATACACTAGTCGGTGTCCATCGTAAATTCCAATTCTTTTCTAAAAATGACCACATAGAAAATTCAGGGTAACAAGTGACACAATCAACAAATAGCTTGCAAGAAACATGTTTAATTTACCACGAATTTTATGTAACTCTCTGTCCAACTGGTACGGTGAAATCCAAACATTTTCGTACGTCAAAAGTATACAAAAATGGCTTAACATTTCGTCTATTACTCGATATGTTAAATTTATCTTACCATGAATAACAGAACTCATAAAGCCACTATGCAAAATACTCGTAGAATGTGAAACATGGATTTGAGTTGATCGATAGAATTAAAATCTTTAAGGTGAACAAGAAATTTATGTAATCACTTGTTTTTTTATTTCTATTCACGAAAATGCTGCTATTGATAAAAGCTGTTGATTTCATATGTGGTAAGTTGTAAAATTGAGGTATGTAAATTGGCATACTCCTTTTCTCTTTAGAAAAAAATGGACATGGTAATGTGCCGTACTTACGTGGCTTAAAAAATAAGCACATTAAAAATAAACTACACTAAAGATCTAAACTTTATTCTTCATTCCATGATAAATACAACATTGACATAACTTTGATAATTTATTTGTAAAAAAACAATTTATTGTCATTTCCTTTATTTTCATTTTGTTTTATTTCTTCGCTATAATTCAAGCTCCAAATTATGTATTATCTTCTCAGTGTTCACCAACAGTAAGGAATTCACTCAGAAAATTAGATTCTAGAAAAAACAAATCAACAATTTCACAAACATTATCCTCTACAGAATCGTTTCATAATTTATTATTATGGTTTCATAAAATTTTAAAAGCAATTTCAATTTCATTGAAAAGTTTATCCTCGTCTGATGATCAATTAATATTTGATCAAGATAAAAATAGTTATAATGTCATGGAATCTATACACCCTAAATCGAAATCTCCAACATATATTAAAATGTCTACTGGTAATTCTATGTCTGAATGTTTAACACTATACAATGAATCAAATCGATGTCAATATGATAAAAATGCTTCAATAGATGGAATTAATAAATTACGTGATGTTTCAAATAAAGAACAAATTAGTTTGGCTACAAAACGAAAAATAAGTTTGAAAAGCGTTAAGTCTACATGCAATTCTATGCTATCACAATTAGACGATCTAACTATAAGTGATAAACTTATTACTTCAGATAATCATATAAAGGGAATAAATGATGAACCGATTGTACAAAATCAAACAGTTTATCCACGTAAAGTAAGTTCATTTTTAAAAGGAAATAACTATTAATATGCTCAGAAAAAAATTTCAAGGAGAATCCAGTCAGCGAAATGAATCATCATAGTGTAAATTATAAACCAATTGATATAGCTAAGTAGTACTAGATAACTGGCTTTTCCACAACTTTATTTCCTTATAAATAAAATTTGTTCCAAAAAAGAACAAAGGATGATTAAAATTTGTTTTATATATTGCTTGAACTGCAAAATTGATTATATTGTCATCGATCCTAGTAAAGTAAACAGCAGAATACAACAAAACACTTTAAATATACTTTCCATTTCCTTGTGTAAGTTGTCAAATATTTGAAGATTAGATGTATACAGGTTTGATCAAGATGTAAAGAAAGATACACTAAATAAATCTCATTTCAATTTATATAAACTTTTGTTATAATGTACGCTATTTCAATCAGCAGTTTCATTTTCAGAGTTGACTTCTTATGTGATAAATTGTGTACATTTTTACTGCCCATCAGTTTTCTGATCGGAAATTCTCAACAGTTATTTGAATATCAATGTAAAACGAAAACATGTTACAGACCAGTAGAAAACTAACGGCGAAGAACTTTCCAATAATTTTGTGTATGTATGTCGATATACTATTGTAAACAAAATGTCAAACTTTGAATATAACAGACTTTGAGAACGGTAATAACGCCCTAAAGAAATGATAAGAATTACAACATGTCAACCCGAAAAAAATAATAGATAAAGTGGATACTTGCTAACAAATACGATCTGTAAAATAATGAAGATTTCGATAATTAATTTCACAATGAGTTGCGTGAATGTTATTAGTTTTAATCCCATTAGTTATAATTACAAATTCTCTTTAGATTTCCAGATCATCTTCTATTCATGCAAAACAACTTAAGTCTCGATGTCGATCAATGGAATATGTTTCATCGCCGAAATTTTCTGAGGATGAAAATATAAATACCATGTTACTGTATCAGCTTTTACTTCAGGTAAATTGTTTTTAACAGATCAATTTATATACTACTCGTCGCCTAGTAGATTAACAAACTTCTACTCACTTAATTTTCATAAATAACTATTACCTGGTTCAAATTTGAAGAGGAATTTCACGTTGTAACTGTATATTCGAAATGGTATCATTGTGAATAATGTTCACCGATAGCAAAAAAGGGGTGTGCCTAAGTATTTTCCTTTGTTTTCTAAAAAAAACATTTTTCTTCGTAGTTGTAGATACAGCGTACACAGTACTTCAATTTTTGCAATTTTATCACAAATTAACTAACACAATCGCTGTAGTAGTCCAGTAGTATATCACAGTTATGAGAAATACCTTGCAAATATATGATGGTCAGAAGTATACTTGTTTAGAAATGTCCATAATTTGACTAGGGAGGAGATAGCTGAACATGAATAAAAGCCAGAAACCTTCATAGAATATTTCAGTCTTGCTATAAGTTTATTAAGGCACTTAAATATAATAAAAATACGACAGATTGTTTTGAAATATATATGAAATTAAACCATAAAATAACCCACTTAGAACGGGTACGCACTTTTTTATCCTGACAAAAATATTATAAACTGATCAGTATATGAGTTGGTACACATTCACAATTTATATACAGTACCCCACTAATCTACATCACAGGTAGGATTAAAGAAAATGACCTCATGTATGTATCACTTTATAATATTCCTATTGCTAAAAATTAACTTCTACAAAAGAAAAGTGACTCCTGCATGCGTCCTCTTAATAACTATGAAGCTTATGGTAAGGATGAATATACTAATTTCTATTACCTTAATTTTTACTGAAAGGTTGTGTATTCTAATGTGCTAACTAGCTGAAATGAGGAAAACCTACCGATTGATTGTAAACATATAGGATTAAAAGCTGAGTCAATAACACTGGTGACTACATCGCAAATCTATCAATAGAATTAGATAAGCTCATAGAAATAGATTTATATGACATTAGTTTTTTTACTCAATAACACTCTATCCTAAAACTTAAACCATCTATAAAAGTTCCTAAGGATCTAGTTTTTTTCTGGTACCACGTAAAAATATTCGTTTTATCTCAAGGTTTTCCCAAAAATATATTTAGTAGTTTATCCAGTCACTTTTGAAAGTGCACTTCATTGAATACGCTTTACCACTTATATTTCGGCAATGAATAAAGTAGGTATGTACCCATTCATCTCATTAATGAGATAAACGTAGTTCGAAATGGAGGAATCTGATATGTTTCAGTCCGAGATATAAAATCTTTTCAAATATAGCTAGCACCACGTAAGATTACTTCTTTTTAAAATCAGCGTTTCAACGAGTTTTAGAATAGAATTTTTCCCTATTTATTCAAATATATAGATGAAAAATGTTGCAGAACTTATTGAGAAACAAAACCTAATATGTGATAAACGTGTTCGCCGTTCATCTTCGGTCGTTACATGAAATTATTAACAAGCAATTCAGTTGGTTTCCTTCTCTAATGAAAACCGATTAACAAGTAGTTCCCCATTACTTAACTTCTGCAAGACTTTATGTATATCACTTCATTATTTGCTAATAAATGTGTTCCTTATTCTTGACTCACTTAGTCCTAAACATTTTTTGCATGATTCTCATATTTGCAATTGACTTTACATTTTATCATTTATTCTTGCAGATTTGATTCTCTTATGTAGAAATGATTTTAGCATGTATTTTTATATTATTCCACATGTTAATTTCATTAAGATGGTATTCAATCCCTTAAGATGATATGGTAATTCAGTGGTGAATGTATTACTTCACGAATCTACAATGTATTGACATTTTGCGTGCATGTGCAAATTCTAAATATGTGCATCTACTGAATACTTTTAAGTAGTATATAGTTATTTAGAACAAAACATGTACAGGTTCGTATACTATTTTAAATCAGTACAGTAAAAGGAAGTGACTAAGAGGAAGAATAACAGTAGCGGAAAAAATAGGAAGAGGAGGAATTACTGAATAATTCTAAATTTCGTGAAATCACATTAACACAGTAAGAATACAACGGACGATTGAACTGATCAACGTCAAGAAAATCATTAACAATTATGTGCAATAAACAGGCAACTCAGAAAAAAGATACAAATTATTATTGAAAACTCTGAAACAAACTTCGTCAGGTGAAAATATCGATAACTGCCTGATCATAGATTAAATACTTTAAAATCTGGATCTTCATTAATTTGCGTATTCCGAGATTTGTACGAAATGATTATGTACAAATATTTCTAAATTGTTTGAGGAAATGATGGTTGACGCTTCATAATTTCTTACTTTAAAACCATCATGATGTTAACTTCAATGCGATCATCTTCATAATAAATTATCTAGAATAAAGTACTGATCACATACACATAATAATCCTTTTTAGTAATAATTGCTTTAAATAATTCAGCCCACACAAATTTCATTACAACTTATAATTCTAACCAAAATAAACCTCACTATGGACTGATGCATGGAAATATTTGTTTCTGAAGAAAATCATATTTTAAACTTTAAGGTACAGCATAACTAGGTGTAACTTAAACTGATAATACTGCAAAACTGGACGTACAATAAATAGTTCTGAAGTTACAAATCAAATTGGTCAATCAGTTGTGGCAAACTCAAAATTTAGGTTAAAAATAAACCCAGTGCATCCGACTGCTCAGACTGATTTTAAACCACGTTATCTAAAATTCCCTACGACAGACTATGACAACCCTGCCTAGCAGAACGAGGAAGCCTGAACCTCTTGACATGTTCCAGATCAATAAGTAATGATTTCATGTACTGATGATATACCATAGTCTATCCATAGTCTTCTAGTTTAACCTCATCTTAGCCAGTATAATAAGTCGAAATAAGTAGTTTATTGGTATATGTATCATAAAATACATGTTAAATACAATAAAAGCTTGGATATAGATTCAAGAACTGTAAATAGAATTCCTTCGACTGAAACACATCACTCCGTAAAAATAATACCGCCTTAACATTTATTTTTGGGCTTTTTGAAACAGAGAGATTGTCGTTACTGTTTTAAACTATGACAGATATGAAATTGTTGAAAAATAGATCGATAATTACTTGTTTAGTACTTACTATATATAAATGTTAGCATGAATTTCAAACACTTTTGTTTTTAATAATCAGGTCAACAAAGCAAAATAAGAAACCTGAAAATGAATTTATTTTTTCTATACCTGAAAGTAAATTATTTTGTACAGAAAATTGAGTTCATTTTAATGGTTTGTTAATGCCGTCAGAGCATAAAAGAATGCAGGCATAATGAGTATAAAAATAATGACATGAAATCAGCTTTTCTCAGTGTATAGAGAAGATCATTGCGCAGGTTAATTGAGGTTCCACTAATTCACTCACAAAAATTTATAGGAAATAAAATTTTAAGAAGTTTGCTGTTGAGTAGTCAATGTATAAGGAATTATAACTCCTTTTAAAGCAGTTAGTTCACGAATTATCTGTAGAAGTGAAATAGCAGTATCTTCAACAGACATTCTAGCTGCACATGGGACATGTATGAAAACAACTCGATCAGGTGAATATTCCAGTGATCTATATTAAACAACAGGATGAATTGATAGAAGTAATAACGGATAGAACTAACTTGTAGTATATATAGCCACATAAAAACCTGCCTGGATCATTTGAAATTGAACAAGCGATATGATTATCCACTAGTTTACTGTATGCTTTACTCAAATTCATGTTACAATAAAGGATTGGTTCACCATGAATACTAACACAACCATTATTTCCACAATAAGCGCCATCCATATCTGGTTTATCGTAACCACTATTATATGACAGAGTTTCCAAAATTGGCATCGTCACACTGGCGTCCATACCGACATGTATCACTAAATCCTAATGGAAATCAATAAGTTAGACAGATAATACCTAAAAACTATCTTATTCTGTTGGTATTAAAAACATTGACTGATAAGAACTAAACACAACGTAAAGTACGAGACTTTGTAATTAAAGACCATTAAGACAATACTTTACACATATTCTCCACATGACGAAATACTCCATAACATGTGAATATATTTTGGTCTGATATAGTTACCACTCCTTTCAAAAAGATTTAAATATCAGTTAAGATTGAAAGGACGAAGGAGTGGCAATTTTGACTTGAATTCCTACTAGACAGCACGTTGAGGGATGTGACCTAATAGCATGAAGTATCAGTGTAAAATATGCTGGATACCAATTAAGTTGACTGCCTATAGAGGTCTACATTACTGATTTCAGATATTAAATTAAAAAATCCAAAAATAATTATAACCACTTTCCATGTTCTTCAAAAACACCATGTTAAGACATGCCTAAAACCTTCCATTCGATTTTATGGGATTATATGAATATAAAAATGCTCTCTAGGTACTTTGAATTCAAACCATTATCAAGTGAGATGGTTGAAAGTATATATGCCCAGTCACTGCCTACTTCAACTTGCTTAGAATGGACGTCGGCTGGAAAAGTGATAAGTGTAACCAAATAGAGACATTTAATTAACAATGGTAATAATGCATTTCAATATACTATATTGTCAGGAAATACTTAAAAATATGAGAACAATGATACTCCTAAGATCTTTTTTTAAAATTGATCGATCACTGAGCAGCGATCAATGTCATGTATGTGAAATTTTTCTTTAGTGCTGATCAAATTCTGTCTATAAAGTTGCAATGAGGCTACAAATCTAAGTGACTCGATAATCACATGCATTATGTCGAGATGTAGGATAGTGGCTGGAGGTGGTCGAGATGATATCCTAGACCTAGATTTTGCGCTATTTAGCACTCGTTAGCAAAGTGTTACCTAGTAGTGGGTAAACGAAAACCAAGACATTGCCTCGAAGCAACGAAAAAATATATACACTACATATCATCGACACTTCCAGTTATCACATCTAAAAATGGTCACATTAAAAATCACACCATTTTGATTTATTGGTAAGAAACAGCAGAAAGAAAATGGGCTTTTAAAATAAAGAAGAAACTAGCAACCTATATTCCACTGAAATCGCGCAATTAATAAGATCACAAAGATTAGCTTAAATCAGCTGCATAAAATCTTCAGCTTATACAAAGGTATTTTACTTACAGGGTTTTCTTTCCAGATAGAATTAACACATTGGTCAACAGCTTTATACGTAACAGGAACATTCTCTATTGTGTGTAGTTTTATACCAGTATAAGCATCAGTATAAGTTTTATTCCAAATTTGTCTCAAACGATTAACAGCCAACGAACTAGAATTGTATTCGCAACTTCCATAAAGCCCAAAACCAGTGATAATTATGTGCATTCAAGTTTAAAACTTACATGAAAGGGAAGAATTAGAATAAGATAAACTAGTGAACTATTCAAAGAATTTTGTACAAACACTAACTTTACTTAGCTTACTGTTCCATACAATACATCAAAACTTTAATGTGCGGTGTATCAACCAGTCAGCAACAAAATAGAACTTCGTAAGTACCTACATCAGCTCAAGCTGCCATGTCAGATTAGCACAGAGATACAATTGTCGATTCAAACCTCATAGTGGTAGAGGTAGTAAAAGTATAGGAATTAATCGGAAAGATTAGGGTTTGAAGATGTTATTCAAGGAGTATAATCCAGTGAAACAAATTTGGAAAGAGACAAAAAGGGACATGAAGAAGTCAGAAAACTAGAATTTGGGAGAACACGAAGAGTGAATCCACCTGTGCCATTGCAAACGATTTTGAGCCATGTCATTCAAGGTTTCTAACCATAGGTTACTATCGTCTCGCGGATCCTAACCAGGTAGTCTACATCTACTAACATGGCTCAGTCCACTTGTCAGTGACTTCATGGACTTGTGCCATGTTTTGGTCTGGCCGCCTTTAGCCTTCTTCCAACCTACTCCTATACCATTGAGCATCGCACGTCGAGGCAGTCGGTGGTTGGGCATACGTAACACGTATCCCAGCCATCTCAACTGTTGAAGTTTCACGACTTCATCAATCGATTTGCCATCCTTACCTAGTACCCGTTTCCTAACAACTACGTTACTTACTCGATGGTCCTAGGATATACGGGAAGTGCTTCAAAGACACCTACGAATATCCTCTACTCTTACCGGCCATGTTTCACAGCCATAAAGTAGAACAAAGCGAACTGCTGCGCAGTAAACACGTCCTTTGGTTGGTAGACGAATATCTCGCCTACGCCACAAATGAAACAAGTTGGCAAAAGCTAGTCGAGCCTTCTGTATCCGTGCAGAGATTTCGTCACACACAAGACCACAAAGGCTGATAAGACTCCCAAGTGAAGCAGTCGACGCGCTCAACTACTTCACTCCTTATCATTAGTTCAGGTGCCGATGCAACTCAATCCTGAAGTAACATTTTGCATTTCGAGGGAGAGGATTGCATCCCGAATCCGTTTACATTGTTGTTTACGGTGGTCAGAAGGCTGCATTTTGTCAGCGTCCTCACTAAATAGAACTAGATCATCGACAAATGTCGAGACAAAAAGAATGACAACCCGCAATGTTTGGGGAAACATTGGGGAAAACTCAAAATTTCCACAAAACTTTGGGATCTTCTCCAAACCTGGGGAAATTTCGGGGTTTTCGTGCCGTTTCCCCCAAATAGGGAGACTGGGAAGCAACTTTTATACGTACACAATATAAATATGCGCTCCTCTGTTTGCGAATCCCGTGATAGTGGAACTTCTGAAGTCATTATCTGTGAGCTTACTATAGAATGTTGTACACTTATACTCGGTGTCATCTATCGCAGCCTAATCTGCTTAGCTGATGATTTTATTTTAGAGCATATTCAGCTAGGAAGTGCAAATAACAGATGCTTGATATTAGGAGACATTAATGCACCTGATATTCGTTGGACTGAGATAACCACGGAAGGATCTATAAACTCCTTTGATAGTAGGTTCCTGATAACATAAATGGAGCATGCGTTAGTACAGCATGTATCCAAACTCAAACCAAGGTTCTTCTCTGTTGGACTTGGTAATCACTCATGAGACTGGGGATATTGCCAACCTAAATATTCTTTCACTGTTAATGAATAGCGATCACGCTGTTTTGTCGTTCATGTTTAGAGCTAGTGACATGATATGCAACCAAGTTAAGCCTCAACTAAATGTATGGAGATTTAACATAGCCGTTCAGGAGTGCTCTGCTAAGACAGATTGGTCAGTAGATACTAGCTAATCACTTGGAGTAGAATGGTTTACATTTAAAGGCAAGTTTAGTTCAGATACGTCCTTGTCTCTACCATGACTAGTACCACGAAGACCGAATAACCGTTCACCATGGATAACTAAACAAGTCAAGAAACATATTAGACACAGAAAAAAGCACTGGGAAATGTTCATCTCTACTGGCTTAGAACAGCACAGATCCAGTTCTTGTAACATTAGGAAGGCTTTTAAAGCGTTAATAAGTAAGACTAGACAGTCATATAAAAAACAATTGGTTAGGGATTGTAAATATAGTCCGAAACGGCTATTCTCGTATATAAAACGGAGAACTCAGAGAAGCGATGAAATTCCACCACTTAGGATGCGAGAGAATCCGTTAGTATTGGTAAGAAATGATACTGAAAAAGCTGATGCTTTATCGGATTATTTCAGTAAAGTGTCTTCTATCAGTAACGAGGAAAGACCAACGATTTATTGTTGATGACCCTGTAGTTATTGAGAAAGATAATGTCTTAAGACTACTTCATCATCTCAAACCTAAGTCCAGTGGTCCTAATGATAATAATCCTAAGATTGTGAAAGGCCTATCAGATGTAATTGCTGAGCCTTCAGCGATACTGTTTAATATGTCTCTGAGGTAGTCCAGAGTGCCTAGAGACTGGAAAGACGCGATAATTAGTCCGGTTTATAAGACAGGAAGCAGAAATCTAGTTAGTAATCACCGGCCCGTTAGCTTAACTATTGTAGTTGTAAAACTAATGGGAAAAAATCATCCGGACAGCTGTTATAAACTATGCGGAAAGGCATGGTCTTTTATCCAGAGGAACAACATGTTTTTCGGAGAGGCCTATCATGCTCGACAAATCTTCTCATTGCAAGAGAATGTTGGGCTGCGGCAAAAGATCAGAATATTTCTGTAGATATGATCTTCATAGATCTAAGTAAGGCCTTAGATAAGGTATCCCATTCTGGTCTTAAATTCAAACTGGAACGTTTTGGAATCCATTATGAAGTCGTAGGTTGGATAAGTAACTTTCTCCATGACAGGAGACAAAGAGTAAAGGTAAACGGAGCTCTCTCATCGTGGGAACCTGTAAAAAGTGGAGTTCTCCAAGACACAACCCTGGGTCCTCTTCTCTTTTTACTCTATGTAAATGAATTACCAACTGTAGCAAAACCACCCGTTCTACTCTTCGCCGATGACATAAAGATTTGAAAACCCCTGCACAGCATGTCAGATAGAATAGTAATAGATGATGGTCGCAGCTCATTGGTGGCATGGATGAACAGGTGGTCACTAGAAGTAAGTCCTAACAAGAGTGTGATGATGCAGCTAAATAACTATAATGATTCGTATCACTACACAATATGTGGGTCCGTGCTACCCAAAGTAAGAAACTATAAATATTTAGGAGTGATACTGAGCAGTGATCTCAAAACTGCGAGCCACTGTAAGGCTGCTACAAACGGCTATAGTGCATTACAATTTGTTCGTAGGTCTTTCCAGTATTTGGATGATGAAATGTGCAGATTATTATCCCTGACTTTCGTGTGACCGCATGTGGAATATTGTTTTAAGTATGAAGCCCATATGCTGGAACGAGTCCAACGACGAGGAACAGACTGAGACAACTAAACTTATTTCCATTATCTTACCAAAGAATATATGGTGATGTAATATTGATCTAACATCGTACACCGAACGATGACATTGGTATTAATATGTCTTGTATTTTCCTTCCGTCTAGGACTGATCATTCGAGAGTACATTCGAAGAAATTTCAAAAACTGAGATCGAATTGTTTATGTCTGGAGTTTCGTTTATCGCACCGAGTAGTGAATTATTGGAATTCTCTATCGGAACACGTAATATCAGCACCTTCTGCAGATATATTCAAAACGAGGTTGGACCTCCACAGTGTTACAAACTGCAAGGATTATTATAGGTTGGTAGACCACCTATCCTTATTATTGAAGACTACAGAAAATGTATATACAATATGTGTTGCGAAATAAAACCCATAATCAAAAATATATTCCGGATTGAACTGTGCCTAACATCAACTAGACCTCTTAAATTACATTACCTGAGGTAAGACCCCCAGCCTTTAACAAAAACGTATTTCTATAACAAAATAGTTACTTGGGTGAGCGATAACACACACGTGACCTTGACGAGAGGTAGCTGATTTCAAATTCACCACAGCATTTGCTTTAGGAAGGTAAAAAAAAATCAGGTTCGTTCAAAGCCGCCTGTCGTTTCGTTTAAACGCCTAATTTCTTCAACCTACATTTTATAAACAACTGACAACATCCATGTTCATAATCACCCTAATTATGGAGGTGAGTCAAGTGTAAAGTGTTTTAGAGCTCATATTTGCTTAGAAACCTGACTATGGTCCATTTCTAACTTTATAAATGGTGTATTTCACTTGCTTGAGTTTGCTTTATTACAAATAACCACATCAGGTTAACTAAACATTCACCCAGGTTGTGAGCAACAACTACGACAAACTGCTAATAAACTAGAATAAAAGCTATGTCATAAGCTTAAACATTACGAAAACTGACGTGTGGCGGAAAATACACTGTTAATAGCTGGTAAATAATAACATCCGAAGTCCTCGACAACGTGTAACGTGTGCACGAAAACCAGTTGTCCGACTTCTTCACCGTCCCATTTACTTCCGTACTGTAATATGATCTGATAACTAGCAGTAAGCGGGATGAAACAGAGAAGCTTGAAACAATATGAATCTGAAATGAGAAAAATTATTTTATATGCATAAGAGGAAGATTTTATGTATTTTCAGAAGAATATAGGCGAAAATTCAGCTGGTAAAGATAGTTTGCAAACCACATTCAGTGGCTTTTAATAAACTTGAGGGGTTTTTGCAAGGAGACTATTTTTCTTTCGTATGAATAGGATAACATTCAAGTTGTTATTTGTGACTGTAAAACAGTAATTCTTCTGTGAAAATGTGGCGCTATTCAAATCTAATACTTTGATGTCGAGTTTAATTTTTCATCTTCATCAGAACTACATGTTCTGTCACCTGGAGTTCCTGAAGGCAAAGAATCAAAGTATTCAAGTGAAGTCATAATCAGTGTAGAAGACACACAAAGAACCATTTTAGGGAAGTCTACTTGGCGCTAGACTTTTTCTCTTTGTTAGAATCAATTCAAACTACTTTTCTGTGGAGATCACGAGACTGTATGTATAAGTGTTTTCTTTAACTAGATACTGCAACAATGAACTGTCGTTTGTAGGATTTTTTTCGATTATGATCGAATGTAAAAGACTTTAAATTCACGCTATGCTTTTCTGATTTCCATTTCAAGATTGCCTCAATTCAGCGCTGTTGTCATTACTGACTGTCGCCTGTTACTCCCCTTATTATATATCAGTGCATTTTTGGCGCTTGCTGAATCGTTACTTATCCTCTTCTTTCGTTCTTCTCTTCTCCAGCTCTCCTCATATTATTTTGTATGCTCCTCCATCACACAGTTTATTCCAGCTAGAGGCGTACAGTTACACTGGTGCGTTCTGCCTGTTTGTATCTAATAGTTTTTAAGTTCTGAGCAAACATGAAAAAAACAATATACTTGATTTTCTCGAGGCCTCGTATGTGCATTTGAATCCGTATTAGTAATTTCAGTTCCCACCAAAGTAGATGATAAGGGTGTGTGAAAACGTTTGAGAAATACACTGATTGGCCCAATGTATGATGTCTTCCGTCCCGAATATGTTAGTTGTCTTTGACTATATGGTCCTATTAAAGATGAAATGCTGTTGCATGAAAAGTTTCCAGATTCCTATGCATCCTTGCGAAAACTCTAGCATTAACACGATCTACATCCCCTTTGCCCTGTAGAATTCAAACTACGGTTTGGACTGTTGAGTAGCATATGGGGTGGATGAGACACGCGCCCTCGCCTGTCAAAATCAAAACAAGTAATCGGGTAAATAGCGGTTCTGTAATTCATTATAAGTTTATATGTAAATCGTTACCTAAACAAACATTACCACCCGGCTATTCAACCAATAATTGTTCAATCAATCAAATCTAAATTACAATAATAAAGTTGATAAAAGAGGAGGGAAAATTACCAGTCACAACAAATGAACGTTATTCTATTCTGACTGGACAGAACATACACAAAAGGAGGAGCGAATCAATATGGCTGCCGCCAAGAACAAGTGTCAAGTAAAACAACACAGACGCGGTTCGGGAAGAAATACAAAACCTAGTTGTTAGCGGTACATAGACTAGATTAAAGCATGCTCAATGCATGATTGTTTTGGTGCACGCTGATTGGCTGATTCTTATCCAATCAGCACTGGTCGATAGTCGGAGAAGACTCTAGAATCTTCTTATGTAAAAACTATAAATATACCGACGTTTTCCCCTATTGTGCTTCCTACTGGCTTCTGACTTGCTATTTGGAATATAATCTTTTTCCTGTTCAACCGTGTTTTGATCTGGGGACTTGTCGAGTGAATCGGTGTCCGAGAATACTAAGCAATAGGAATAGCTGGGTCATAACCGTAAGAAGACAGACTTATAACAGTGGCGACGGGAAAAACTAAAGAAAAATGGCGATTTCTTTAGAACAGTTGCGGTTAATATTACAGCACCAGCAGAAGTTGTTAGCCTTGCAACAACAACTATTGAACACACTTTTCACTCGACCAGAAAATAAGAAATCTGTTTATGATGCAGTAACAGACATTTTAGAAGCATATCTAGTGGAGGGTTCAAATCCCTTTATACCTGAATCAGAACGTAATATTTGTAACGTTTCCGGCTCACAGCAAGAAAATCCTGTGCTGAATGCTCATAAAGTTGTGGCAATACGAGATTATCAAGAGCCAGACCCTGTAGATGAAGCCCGGAGTCCAGAATTGAATGAAGCACTACTGGTCCTGTCTAGCTCTGAAAATAACTTTCAGCTAGAACAAATTTATGGTCCACGTGATATTAGCCAAGAAAGCTATGGGGACTCGCATTCAGAAAATAACTGCAGTGACACGATGAACCCAATTATACCGAATGTTACTCAAAATCATTGTGAGACAGAAACTTATATTGAATCAGCTTATCCGATTTCTAATGACAATGTATCAGACATGGGTTCTCAGAACAATGCATGTTATTTTGATGGAATTTCTCATAAAAATCAGGAAAATATATCAGCTGAGTCAAATTATGGTCAAAAGTCTAATTTAATTTTGTTAGATGATGATTTCCGTAATGATCCATTATCCACTGATGAAATTCCTAATGGATTTGAAAGTAATGCTTCAGAAGAATTAAACTTTGACCTCAAATCAAAGGTCGTTCATTATCATCTAGTCGTTTCTAGTGGATCCGACATTCAATGCGAGAAACATCGTTTAAATAAAGTCCTATTATTTGTAACTTGGAGATATAAGGATCCGACATTGTTTCGCGGAGGAGGAGAATGTTGGAGAATTAAAAGTTATGCATACTTTTTTTCAAGAAAAATCAAAACGCCGGGAACAGACATGTCAGTATCTGTGCAAGGAAAAAGTGATAATTCTTCATTGCCTAGACGATGGTCTAATCGAAAGCACAAGCCAGTCACTCAGTTGCAGTTGGACCCTAGCACCAGATCATACGAATCTGCTCAGAGGGGAGGTGTTAGCGGGACATAGACTAGATTAAAGCATGCTCAATGCATGATTGTTTTGGTGCACGCTGATTGGCTGATTCTTATCCAATCAGCACTGGTCGATAGCCGGAGAATACTCTGGAATCTTCTTATGTAAAAACTATAAATATACCGACGTTTTCCCCTATTGTGCTTCCTACTGGCTTCTGACTTGCTATTTGGAATATAATCTTTTTCCTGTTCAACCGTGTTTTGATCTGGGGACTTGTCGAGTGAATCGGTGTCCGAGAATACTAAGCAATAGGAATAGCTGGGTCATAACCGTTAGAAGAAAGAGAGTTATAACACTAGTAAAGGCGTAAGAAAAACAAAAACTATAGTAAAAAATACAAATATTAACAATTCAAATGTAATCAAAAGACAACAATGTCCGACTAAGGGGATCAATAGGAACAAAGTGCAAGTATATACATGGAGGGATTTTCACCAACACACAAAGCATTCATAATGGATCTTACATGCCCATTTTTCTTCGACAAATGCTCACTTGATTGGCAATAATCTCATTTGCCTGTTCTCTATGGTATGGTTATTAAGCAAATTATACAAACACAAAAGTGATTTATTTCACATATATTCGTTCGGGATTCATTTAGTCTCCACCATATGCTTAAAACTTCTCTTGTCCTTGAGGGAAATGTTAGACATATTACTTTATTTCGTGCACGTGATCGAAGGTACTAGAATTTCTGTACCTCTGTTTGAAAATGTAGGACTCATTAATTACCCAATTTTGCATTTTTCCTGCCCGTTGGTATTCCTCGTTCTGCTGACAGAAAAAGTCAAACTAATGACCAGTAGAACTTTATTTTGCTCACAGATACTTGTTCAGCCACACAATGTCTTTCAGCATTCATTACAAAAATAGTAGAGAATAAAGTCTCTATACAAAATAAGGGAATGAATGGATACTTGTGCTCAAATGTGAAATCAATTTAGCTAATATAATAACCTCGCAAGTAATGTACAGTACGATTAAGTCTTCGTAAATCCAAAAAGCCAACGCAATCCATGTGAAAGCATAGGTTTCAGCCAAAAAGAGTTTAACTCGCAATCCATTTCTATGATAATGGTGTGAAGTTTTCGTCAGAGTTTGTATGAAAATAAAAAGGAGAAGAGGAAGACCAAAGAACACATTACGCCGGGAAATGGAGATAGACATGAGAAAAATGAACAAGAATTGGATGGAACTAGAAAGGAAGGCCCAGAACAGAGTGGGTTGGAGAATGCTGGTCGGCGGCCTATGCTCCATTGAGAGTAACAGGCATAAGTAAGTAAGTATGTAAGTAAAGTACTTTTACACATATAACCTGTGAATATGTCATCATATTTAAGTATTTTGCAAGATGATACTCTCATTTTCTAATTTATGACTGACCCTGAATATTTACGTTTGTCACAGTTAAAGGATAAATACACTCCAAACTTTAGTGATATTATTTTTAGCAGCTTCTAATATAAGTTTCCAAAAAGCAGTTGATGTTTTGAATGAAAAGAAGTAATTATATGACCTCGAGTTTCTAAAAATAGTTATTTATCAGTTTATTTATGCGTTTTGTTTTCTT